CATTTTACAGAAGAGGAAACTGAGGCATGATTTGAATTCACATTTTCCCAATTCCAAGTCCAGTACTTTACCCACTACACCACAGAGCTGATAGTAATCAATCCACAAGTATAAATTACTGCTCTACTAGATCCTTTTTTTTTGTTTTAAGTGGGTGGGATAGGGATAGACCCTGGGTTTGTGATTCATCTGTATAGAGAACTCCCTCCACCAATACAAGTTAGTGCCTTCTTTAAAATGTATAGCCTTGTTTGTTATCGTTTGCCCTTTGTTCTCATAGAGGACCAATGGTGTCAGGAAGGAGATCTCTTGACTTACAAGGGAATCGGATTTAAGTGAGGCAGGGCTGTGGGAAGTCACCAGCCTCACCCTCTCCTCCCAAGCCATCTGGGTCCAGTGACAAGACAGCCTTAGAGAGATGCTTCTATAGCACTGAGAGGTTGTGACTTTCCCAGTGGTCACAAAGTCAGTATGGATCTGAGGCAGAATTTGAACTCAGGTCTTCCTGGCTCAGAGACTGACTGTCTATCCACTAAGCCATGGTACCTATTTGTTGCAGAGTACTGATTTGTTGCAGAGTACTGGGTGCCTGAAGCAAGGGCAGGGGAGGGCTGCTACCAAATTAGCAAGCCAAACGGCAAAGGAAGAACAGGCTGGAGACAATGAAGATAAACTTTGCTGTCTGCCTTTTTGTGCTGGACCCTGTTATATCTGAAAGAATGCAGAGGTGAACAGTAGAAGCACATATGTTTCTGTGCTCTGGGGCTACAAATGGGTGAATAGCTCCACAGGACAAGACCAGCAGTTGGCAACACCTCAGGCAAATAAATGCCTGGATATGATATCAGTAGGTGTATTCTTAGGACTACAGTGAAGGTTACTCAGATTTAGTCCTTTTAGAGAGCCTGGGGCTCCCGAGGGATGGATGGCCCATGGTCTCCTCTCTGAGGGGGAAAGGTTCCAGTTTGACTACATAAAATCGCGAATTCTAGATCTGGAAGCCCATTAGCTCCTGGACTTCCTTTTATCCTAACACCGAAAGGACTGTCACAGATGCTCCTTCAATCCATCAAAAGTCATTGCTCTAAAGGTTGGGGACCAGGAAGTGGTTATGGAAAAGATAGGTGGACGCATTCTGCAGTTGGTGGCCAACGTCATACATTAATCAGGCTTAATTCAAAATCACAACAATATTGACAACTCAGAGGAGAGGGTTTGGAAACAGTACTAGGATTGGAGTTAATGCTAGCACCTTCTCTCTGTGATTATCTTCAGTTCATCCTGGACAGAGTTTGCTGGTATATCCTCATTCGGCCTCTCATGCTGTCTCTCCCATTAAACTGAGTTCCTTGGGGGGAGGGACTGATTTTGCCTTTCTTCTGTATTCCCAGCACTTAGCACAGTGCACTGCACATAGTAGGGGCTTCAGACTTGACTTCCGACTCTGCCACTTAGTTCCTACATGATCTCTGGCAAGCCATGTTATTTCCCTGGGTCTGTTTCCTCCTCTATAAGGGATTGGACCAGATGATTTCTTAAGTCTCTCCCAGATCTGACACCTGATGGCTCTGGAAAGATGACACTGTCCAGACTGACTCATTTCCTCCGTGTTTTCAAACATTTCAGGCTAAAAATTGGTTGCCAGCAATTGCTAGCATTCAAATTTAGTAAAAATAAAGAATATTTTGGGTGCATGCAGGTCCTTAACCAACATTATATACTTCTGAAAGTATGACATGTGTAATATAAGCTATACTGTGAAAACACTTTCCTAAAATTTAACTTGGGCCTAATGGGGATACCATGTTTAAGAGACCAGATAGAATTCACTTGTTGGATATTATGGAAAGAGGACATAGGAGATGCTAATGATACACTCTTCTTTGTCACTTCCCTATTTCCAAACCACGCCTCCTACATTCTGGCCATCCTCGGCAACTCCTCCCACCAGAACCTAGACTCCACTCCTGAGACTCTGGGCTCCAATAGGTGAGATTTTTGCCTTGTCTTACCCCAATCCAGGGACAGCTAGGTGGCCCAGTGGATAGAGCACCAGGCCTAAAGTCAAGAAGATCTGAGTTGAAATCCAGCCTCAGACACTCACCAGCTGTGTGACCCTGGTCAAGTCACTTAACCTCTATTTGACTCAGGTCCTTATGCGTAAAATGTGGACACACTGGAGAAGGAAACGGCAAACCACTGCAGGATCTTTGCCAAGAAAACCCCATGGACAATGTCCACGTGGTCATGTAGAGTGGGATGTGCCTGGACAACTGAGCAATAGCAACCTAAATCTGGGCTTCCACATCACTTTCAGATGATTTCCAAACCATGCCACCATACACATTTACCTCTCTCCCTTTGTAGTTCTCTCTCTTTATGGCTTTTCTCCAGTAGAATAGAAGCTCCTTGAGGGCAGGACTGTCTTCCTTGCTTATTTATAACCCCAGTGTTTAGCATAGTGTTTGGCCCATATTAAGTGTTTACTAAATGTCTTTTATTCATTAATTTATTCTACATATGTTCTTGAATTTGATTACCAGGTTATAAGATCCTGAAAGGGACTTTTGAGATCATGAGCCCAACTCTATTTTACAGATGATGAAACTGAGTCCCCAGTAAGGCAAAATGACTTTCCAAGGGCCACACGTGGAGTTAAAAGCAGTGAACAAAATGTGAAAAGGAAAAAAGGACTGATCTTCTTGTGTTTAATACTAAAACTCAGTCTCTTTCACTGATGCTCTTCTTGATAAAAGAATGACACACTTGAGTTATACTCAGAAAAAATGGTGATGGAGGTGACTGTAAAGTCTTAGGATCATTTTATTTAAGCCTTTCTACCAAAATGAGAAACTTTGTTTTTGCATGCTGAATTTTTCATTTTCATAGAAATTTTGATGCTTGACAGTTTTCCTATTGAATTCCTTGACAAACTTCCTATTGCTTTTGAGGGCAGATTCTTGTGAGAGAGGCAAAATGTCATTTTTGATAACCACTTTTCAATATGGTAGCTACAGCACCATTTAAAATGATTAGGACTCATTTGCAACCTATGTATAATGCTGTTTTCAGCACCTATATACAGGTAGTGGTAGAAAATTTCTTTAAACAAATGGGCAAATTAGCAAAGTACTTGGCTTCTAGTCTTAGCCTCCTCCATGAAGTGCAGGCTAGATCATTTGGACTGGCAGGTGAATTGGTTTTCTTCAAGCAGTTCCTGATTTCCAGCTTGGAATTATGTGGGTGGGTTTTAAAAGGCAGATGAGAAGTTTTGGGTGTTTGAGGTCAACTATTCCAGAGAGACCTCACAAGGCAGAAATTTTCTTCAGTCCTCCTCCCTCACCCAGTCATGGAGGTTTCAGTCTTGGAGGGAGAAAGAAACTGATGTGACTTTACTTGTCTAAAGACTTAAAAAAAATGGCTGAATGGTTTTGATAGAATTGGCCAAGGACCATTTTATCTCAATGGGGAACTATGACTTTATTCATAATTCACCTGGAAAATTTTGCTTTTTTGATAATGAGTAATTTGGGAGACACTGGGCATTCTCCCTTCCTTTCATACATAGAACTTCTGCTCAGGGGTCCTACTGGTCTGATTGGGCTCACCATGTCAGATAGGTTTCTGCCATGCTCTGTTCTCTGGCTATCTTCTTTTCTGGTTTGCGTGGATCCTTCCCTTCCCCTCTTTCCAGTTCTGGAACCATAATTACCAGCCAAGACTGGGATCCTAGGGCTCACTCTAAGTCATATCCTAATAGCACTAAAACTGGATCTCTGGGCTTTCCAGGAGAGAACAGTAACAATCAAAATTTAGCCCTTTTGTGTTTTTTCAAGTTCTGTGGGTTTTCCATGTAACTATGTATATTTGTTCTCCTGTATATATTTCCATATAACTAAGAATATTTGTTCTCTCCATCAATAAAGAGGGTGTCTGTTTCACAGTTAAGTATCTTATGCTCCTTAGAAATACTTCTTTTGACTTTCAGAAACTTAGAGGGCAATATTAGCTTTTTAGAAGATACGTGGTAACTACTGCCTTAACCTTAGTTGACTGGGTGCATTTTGGAGAATGAAGGAGGAGATATTTGGGCTGCAGAAATTGGGTTACTACCCTTTTCCCTCGGCTACACAGGATCTTCTTAATCAAATTAGGGTACAAGGAGAGAATCCCCCGCAGATAACTTCAGAAATTTTTGATAGGAAGATCTATCTTTTGTTGCCCAAAGCCTTGAGTTTACAGTGTGTTTGCTTGATGCTGATATTGAAATAACTGAGTAGGGGCATGAGAAGGGGACACTTTTGACAGTTAAGTTCTCCTCATCTATTGAAGATCCTGGCAGATTTTAGAGAAGGGTGTGTGATGAGTAGGAGGCATGGTGGCAACAAATGCCTTGGAGCTCTAGCCTGTAAAGCAATTTGCTGATCTTGTCTCCTCAGTTAAACCCTATCTTATGGACAGAGTCTCTACCAGTCTTCTCCTGATATCTAGCTTATAGTACTTTCAGGCTGGGTACACCATAGTCCCTTAGTAAAGACTGGATAATTGACTAATTTCCTTAGGGACCTTGAGAAAAGTGGAAATGGGCTACTTCCAAGAGGTTATTTGTTCTCTATCACTAGATATCTTTAAGCTAAGGTTAGATAATCACTTGTTTGGTATCTTATAAAAGGGATTCCTACTTCAAGTATGTTCTGGATGATGTGATATCTCAAGTCTTTTCCAATATCAGATTCTGAAGAGATCTACTAGATTCTGCTAGTTGGGGACCTCTATTGAACAGTAGAAACAGCATTGGTTCTGGAGGCAAAGGACCTGTGCACCTTTCCTGTCTGTGATACTTACTCTATGTATGATCTTGGCCAACTCACTTAATGTCCACATGCCTCAGTTTCCTCATCTGTAAAATGGGGAGGTTGGACTATATGGCTTCTGAGTTCCCTTCCAGCTCTATGATCAATGCTCCCAGTGAGCTCCCCTGAAATCCTCCACCAACCTACTTGTTATGAAAATCGTAGATCTCCTGGATGTTGCCAAAGATGATGTGTTCTTTGTTAAGAATCCCCGGGGGGATCTCCTCCACGCCACTTGTCATTTCCCACAGGTATGTCTGGAAGACACCAACAGGATTCAAAACTGGTACAGCCATGTGAAAATGCAAACAAGAACAGACAGGCCCTCCAACTTTCTGGCTCAAGGCCCAGACTGGGAAATGTAAAATTAAGTACACAGATAAGAGAGTAAACAAAGTGGGAAGAAAATCAAAGCTGAATATGCTAAATCATCCCAAACTATCTCAGGTGAAATGAAGTGAGATTCCAGAAGAAACACACTCCACCCCCTCACCAACCCATGTTAACTTGATTACTAAATGACCAGTGGGAGATAAGTGTTTTGTTTTGAAACATGAATTATCTAGATAATTACTTTAATTTTCCACTTTACTTGACAGGTATAGACTCAATCTGTGAGCAATTTTTGAATTTCTCTTATCAAAGAACTTTATGATCTCATATGATTCTTCTGGCCCTAGGAGTATCTTCCTTGAGATATATATTTTTTATTCTCTGCTTCCCTCTTGAGTTCTGCACTTTCTAAAATGCTGGACCACTGTCAAGGATGCCATCTTTCTGACAAGGCTGGAAGTCACTTACAGTAAGTACTTCCTCACTAAGCAAGTCACTCAGACTTACCTCTAAGCACTCATGTAAATCTCTTACATATGCCTTTTCTGTCTGGAGGAGTTCTGCCATGATGAACCTGGAAGAAAAAACATACGGTCTTCCAGTAAGTCATCCATACACACGAATGCAATGACACCATTTTTTGATTATCTTCCTTGGTCCTCTCCATCAATATTCATTCTCCTACTTAAAACTTGGCTCAAAACTCAGAGTCACAGAATGATATAGCCATAAATTGCCCTGGACTGGGAGGCAAAAAAGGTCTAGGTCTTAGACCCAGTGCTATCATTAACTAGTTCCGTGACTGCAGACCTTGTCATATAATAAGTGGCAGAGTTGGGATTTGAACCCAGGTCCTATGTTTCCAATTTTAGCACAGATTCCACTACATGCTTCTTGATGAGGAGGTCTTCACAAGATGCTGTGAATAATGGATGCATCACCCAGTGACTAACCTGGTGATCAGCTTCTCTGAACTGAGCTAGGATGGTCCTAGGATGATGTTTCATCCCCGGGACCATAACAGAAACCCTTCTGATTTGGCAGGGCTTGAAAGAACCTTCCTCTATTGTTATGACCTTTTGGAATCCAGGGTTCCCCACCACGACACAATGAGGTGCTGGAGGACAGGGAGGATAAAATGGAGGTGGGGAAAATGTGCTTTTTTCCTTTTCTGCATTTAGAGTCCTTTCTGGTGCTGATCTATTAAGTAGAAGACGAGATGGAGTCCTGCCACCATTCCTGCCCTCCCCTATCTGCCTAGTAACACTAAGGAGAATGCCTGAAACCCCTTGACAGCTCCAAGCTTCCCCTTTGACCGCCTTTGTCTGCCTTTGACTGCACTCCTCAAAACCTCCTTTCCTCCTAAGCTGTTGCAATACTCCATAGGTCTCAGTGGCAGCCTCACAGTCTAATCCCATGATGACATCTTCTTCATTAAAACATACCCCATTGTATCTATTCCTGGGCACAATTATGCATTTGCCTGGATGGAAGGGAGTTTTCCTTCCTGCTGGAACCAGCCTATCATTATGTACCTTCCCTTCCTTTCCAAGGTCCCACTGCTGAGAAGGTAGAGAGTAACCTGGCAACCAGGAATGAACACTGGATTGGGATTCAGATCACAGAATCAGAAATACAGAGCTTGAGAGGGATCTTAGAAACCACTTTGCACAATACTTCATTTTACAGAGGAGGAAACTAGTGACTTGCCAAGGTCACAGATTTGAACCCGGTCTTTCTGACTCCAGGTCCAGCACTGTAGCCACAATTACATGTTGCTTCTCAAACAAATCTAGATTCCAGCCCTGGCTCTCCCACTTACTAGCTATATGACCCTATACAAAACCCTTAACTGTTCTGATTATCAGTCTCTCCGTCTGCATTATGGGGATACTATAACAGCCTAGACTATCTCACTGGGAGACTGAATGAGAAAACAAATGGGAATTATTTGTAAATGATAAAGTCCTATGGAAATCTAAAATGTGATGATGATGATGATGATGATGATGATGATTAGGGAGAGGATGAGTTCTTCCCTTGCCTTTCTGAAATGCTCCATGATCTACTTGGAGTGTGTAGGACTGGAATCTAGTCCTGGTTCTATCCCTGACCTATTTCATGATCTTGGACAAGATCTTGATTTTCCCAATTAACTCAAATCCATATGTATTCATTGAGCAGCTACTTTATCTTAATCACTGGGCCAGGGGTTATGAACAACACAAACTAAAGCTGAAGCATAATCTTCACCTTCAAGTTGCTTATAATCTTTTTGGGGGTGCTATTTATTTATTTAAAATAATATTTTCTTTTTTCCCCAATTACATGTAAAAACAATTTTAACACTTCTTTTAAGTTCTAAATTCCAAATTCTATCCCTCTCCCCCCTCCCCCCTCCCTGCTGAGACAGGAAGGTGGCTTATAATCTTGTTGAGGAGCAGCCACCTTGCTTCTCCTGAGGTTTTCCTAGAATGCTTTGTCTGGATCTCTCATTCACTTCCATCACACTCTACCTTAAATTAGACTGGTTTATGTAACAGGTTATACACTTCCCCACCAGCCCTCTATTATAAACTTGAGGGTGGAGGCCTTCCATTTTCTCAACTTTCTTCCTCCAGCACCAAGCAGAGCACCTTGCTCATCCCACATGCTTAGTAAATATTTGGTGAATTGGATTTAAATGTTTTAATAACAATACAAGACAGGCAGTGTGGGAGAGGATAGAGAGCCAGCTTTAGAACCAGGAGGACCTGAGCTCAAGCCCTCTCTCTGACATACACTGGCTGTGTGATCCCAGACAACCCAGACAATCTTTAAGATCTCTTCCAGCTCCAGAGCTATGAGGCTAAACCAGACAGGACTCATAACCTGCATCAGCAGAGAGAGCACCCATTAGCAATGTCACCACGGGGTTATTTTTTTATCTGTATTAGGGCAGCAAGACTTTAAGTTGCACACAAGCCATTCCCCAATTGATAAATGGTCAAAGGATATGAACAGACAGTTCTCAGATGAAGAAATTAAAGCCATCTATAGTCATATGAAAAAATGCTCTAAATCATTATTGATTAGAGAAATGCAAATCAAAACAACTCTGAGGTACCACATCACACTTATCAGATTGGCCAACATGACAAAACAGGAAAATGATATTTGTTGGAGAAGATGTGGGAAAATTGGAACACTAATACATTGTTGGTGGAGTTGTGAAATGATCCAACCATTTTGGAGAACAATTTGGAACTATGCCCAAAGGGCTACAAAAATGTGCATACCCTTTGATCCAGCAATAGCACTTCTAGGGCTATATCCCAAAGAGATCAAACAAATGGGAAAAGGACCCACATGGACAAAAATATTCATAGCAGCTCTTTTTGTGGTGGCTAAGAATTGGAAATTGAGAGGATGCCCATCAGTTGGGGAATGGCTGAGCAAGTTGTGGTATATGAATGTAATGGAATACTATTGTGCTATAAGAAATGATGAACAGGCTGACTTCAGAAAGACCTGGAAAGACTTCTATGGTCTGATGCTGAGTGAAGTGAGCAGAACCAAGAGGACTTTGTACACAATAACAGCCACGTTATTCGATGACTAATATGGTTATACTGAACCCTTCTCAGCATTACAAGGATCTAAGACATCTCCAGAGACCTTGTGATGGAAAATGCTGTCCACATCCAAAGAAAGAACTATGGAAGTCGAATCCCTATCACTTATTTTTACCTTCTGTTGGGTTTTGTTTCATCTTTCTGATGGTTCCTCCTATTGGTTTTAATTTTTACTTACAACTTCACTAATGTGAAAATATGTTTAATGGGAATGTAAATGTAAAGCCTATATCAGATTGTGTGTGGTCTTGGGGAGGGTGAGGGGGGAAGGGGGAGAAAAATTTTCAACTCAAAAGCATATGGAAGTGATTGTTGATAAATCAAAATAAATTAATAAAATTAAAAAAAAAGACTGTAAGTTGCAGAGATAGGGATGATTTTCATTGGTAGTCTGGGGGTGGGGAACCTATAGCCTCGAGGCTGCATGTGGCCCTCTAGGTCCTCAAGTGCAGCTCTTTGACCGAATCCAAACTTCACAGAACAGTGCCCCTTAATAAAAGGATTTGTTCTGTAAAACTTGGACTCAATCTAAAAGCCACACCTGAGGACCTAGAGGGCCACAAGTTCTCCACCCCTGGTTCAGACAGTTCCTCATTCAGGTTCCTGATATCAACAAAATTACAGAGGGATAGAGAAAGACAAGATAGGAAAGGGGAAAGGGAACAAACATTTAAGTACCTTCAGTGTGCCAGGCACTGTATTAAGGGATTTACAAATATTATCTCATTTGATCCTGACAACAAACCTTTGGGGTAGGTGCTGTTATTTTCTCCATTTTACAGTAGAGGAAACTAAGGCAGAAAGCTTAAGTGACTTGCCCAGGAGGTAGGAAGTGTTTGAGTCTGGGACTGAACCCTGACCTTCCTGACTTCAGGCCTAGTGCTCTATCCACTGGACTACCTAATTGTCCTTATCCCCTTCCTAACAGCAATATGAGGCACTAAGTACCAGGTTAATGGTATGGACAGTAAGTGCTACAAAACTTCCGAGAATGGAGTAATCAGTGTCATCTGGTGTCGTCCAGATGGCTGCACAAAGGAAGTGGGTTGAACTTCAAAGGAGAGTAGGATTTAAATTGCATAAAGAAAAGGAGACCTCCTAAGCCTGGATAACAGCATGAGGCCTATATCTAGGACAATGAGAAGTCCATCCCAGATGGAGTCGGGGAATAAGACTAGGTAGACAGGCAGGTTAGAATTAGGATGTGGAGAGCCCTGAAGGCCGGACCAAGGAGTTTTTGAATCATCCTATAGAAAGGGGAGTCACTGAAAATTTTCAGGAAGGGGATAAAATGATGAAAGCATTATTTTTAGAAGGTGAATCTGTCAGCAGTGTGCAGAAGAGAATGGAGAAAAAGAGAACATTGGAAGGAGACTAAAATAATTTAAGAATGAGGTGATATGGGCCTGGAGTTCAGAATGGTGGCGTTCTGGCAAAATATAAGCTCTGTGAGGGAGGGGATTATTATTATTATTATTATTTTTTTTTTTTTTGCTTTGTATCCTCAATACCTAGAATAATGCCTGGCACACAGTAGGGGTTTAATAAATGTTTGCTGAATGAATAAATGGCAGTGGGAATGGACAAGAGACGTTTTAGAGGAAGGATTGTCAAAACTTGATGGTGGACTGGCTATAATTAAGGAAGGGAAGGGATAAATCAAATATGACTGCAAGGCTTTAAGCCTGCTTGCCTGGGAGACCTGGAAGAAAGGAAGTTCAGAAGGTGGCTGACTGGGGAGGAAAGTTGTTAAATTGAGTTTTAGGCAAATTGAGTTTGAGGTGACAATATGGGGTTTGATGACCCATAGATTCATGTCTTGTAGGCAGATGGAGACCTGGGCTGGAGCTCAGGTGTGAGGACAGTAGTAGAGAGAGAGCTCTGGGAATCATCAGCAAAGATGACACATAGACCATGAGAAGAATGCTATCTGCCTGGGGTTGTTATGAGAATATTGGGGAATATGAAATGGGACCATTACTAGGAGGTGAAAGGACATAAATGTGAAGCTTAATCTATGTTCACTGAAGCATGATTTGAATGAAGAGATATGAGAGGACACCCTCATCTCACTCCTGTGTGGATGTGGGAGGTCCACATGATTTACACATTGCATCAATGTACCAATTGTGATGATTTTTTTCTTATTTTTCTTTTTCTTTTTTGTCTTTACAAAAATACCATTTGCTATATGAGATGGTTATCTGGGAAGGGGAGGTATAGGAATGCCAGGGAAAATTGTGATGATTAAAAAATAAAAGACACCAATAAAATATTTTAAAAATAAAAATATTAAAAGAATAAGCAAACAACAAAATAAATTTTTGTTGAATAAATGAATGTCAGTGGAAATGGAAAGGAATGGATAGCTATGAAAGACATTTTATAGAATTGTGCAATCAGAGCTGGAAGGGACCTTCCATTAAGTCCAAATCTCTCTCTCTCTCTCTCTCTCTCTCTCTCTCTCTCTCTCTCTCTCTCTCTCTCTCTCTCTCTCTCTCTCTCTCTCTTTTTCTTTTTACTGATATAAGGAAACTGAGACAGACCTAGGTGAAGTGACTTGCCCAGGGTCACATAGCTAGTAAATATCTGAGGTATGCTCTAAAATCAGGTCTTCCTGACTCCAAGTCCGGTGCTCTATCCTTTGTCCCAACTTGGAGACTGACTGGACATGGGGAATAAAGGAAAGGGACACTTCTTATTGTGAGGTCTCTGCTTTTCAGGGCTGGGGCTGCCCAGAGAGCACATACTCTTTCTTTCGAGCTGATTTCCGCTTCTCTTCGTTGACCTCGTGGTTGGCATCCCGTAGTTTGACCTCTCGGTCAGAGAGGCTTGCTGGGATGATGTCCAGCTCCAGGTCCTTGTTATCCTATAGAAAGAAGGATTGAAGGTCACTGTGTGGACATCTCAGGGAGAGGCCAGTCAAAAGATACAAGGGAGTGGGCCAGGGAAAGACAGCCAGAGTGATGTCCTTTCAGGGAAAGGAGATGAGAAGATGAAGCAGAATCAAAACCACAAACCCACAAATGCTCCTATGGAAGGGAAGGTTGGGTTTTTTTTAAATCCTTTTCTTTCTACATGAAATTGACATAACAAAAAGTTGCATCCCAGGTGAATGCTCACAGCAGGAAAAAATGAACAAATTCAGTAATTATATGTCTGTCTCTTAAGGCTGATAAGTATGTCCTATAGTCGATTGAGTAAGCTCAGAGCTATTAGCACTGGACACCTTGGTTGAGCCTGCCTCTTGATCATGAAACACAAAAGTTTGTGAAATTTAGTCATGTGGAAATGCAAATACACTCTCATGTCCCTGGGGAAGTAATCAATGCAAAGCTTAAATATAAATAAATACTTATCCTTGGGAACAGAAGGCTAAAAAGAAGCAATTAATGGGTATATTAATTTTTTCTTACCTGATACAGACACTTTAGCTAGCATTTGGTCTTTGGCTCTGGGTCAGGGGGTGAACTGACCTCACTTAACATTGTTCAGTGTGAAGTGAGGTCTCAGTGTCCATCTAATACTCATCCTCCCTTAACTCTTTTCCTATAGTTCTAGCCAAATTCTGTAATCAAACGAGGGAGATTCTTAGAGAAGAGCTCAAATACACCCTATTATAGGCTTAACCTGTAAAATAAGAAGAAATTGGGTGGCTCCACTCCCTAATTATAGATAATCCAATCTGTCATTCATCTTAGAAATGTCAGAAGGAGTCTGGATAAATGGAATATACAAGTGATCTACAAACTTTTTAGCAGATTTGATTTCCCTGATTTCTCTGGCTAATTTTTGTAAGAATTCCTCATGAGAGAACTAAGCTGACTTGTTTGACTACCAAATTAAAATTAAATGAAAGTAAAATGTGACAAAGACTCATGACTGGCTGACAGATCTGCATTTTTGAAATTTATTTCCATGTCTTCTGCTCTCGAGATCCTGCCTTTATAAGCCCCTGGCTTTATTTATTCATCATTTTTTTCGTCTTGCTTTCCCATGCATTAGGGGCTCTGTCTCTATCGAAAGCTGATGCCTACATCTTTTGTTTTGAGACAATATGTGATACTAAGAAGAGATGGGAGGAAGGTTAGCATCTTCAGTCACATGATGCTCACTCTGGACAGGGAAGAAAAGGGGCTGCACATCTCTCTGCTCACTCCTAAACCACTATGTTCCTATTTATTACGTTACTCCTGCAGGAGGCTGGAATTTATAGTGGGGTTGGTGTAAGAAATGATGCTGAGGATCTGTTTGAATGGAACAGTTATCACAACGACCACTCCAACAATGCTTACTGGATTACCTATAGCTACTTCTCCTCTTTTTTCTTTTCCTCCTTCCTTCCCTTCCTTCCCTTTCCTCCTCCCTCCCTTCCTTCCCTTTCCTCCTCCCTCCCTTCCTTCCTTTCTTTTTTCTTCCTCCCTTCCTTCCTTTCTTTTTTCTTCCTTCCTTCCTTCCTTCCTTCCTTCCTTCCTTCCTTCCTTCCTTCCTTCCTTCCTTCCTTCCTTCCTTCCTTCCTTCCTTCCTTCCTTCCTTCCTTCCTTCCTTCCTTCCTTCCACTATATTGCTCAGGCTGGAAATGCAATGGTCACTCCTAGGCCCAATCCCACTACTGATTAGAATGAAAGCTTTGACCTGCTCCATTTCTGATTTGGGTTGGTTCACCCCTCCTTAGGTAGACTTATGTCCCCCCTTTCCAGGGGCTCCCCCTATTGATGCTGGACTTAGTGCAGACACCCAATGGCTCAATCCACTACAGCTCAGAACCCCCAAGCTCCAGTGATCCACCATCTTCGGCCACCTCTGCAGTAGAGATTACAAGTATGCACCACCATACTTAGCCCAACTATAGCTTCTAGACCTAATTTGGTTCCATGAGTCTCTTGCCTAAAATAATGGTATACGAATCATCTTTATCTTCCCATTTCCCAAATAGCTCTTCTAAAATTCCCATAAACTACGTCCTATATCTTCAACAACTAAACTTTCAGTCTCTAGGACTCTCACACAAATAGCATCTGACAAGAGCAACCCCCGCCACAGCAGGAGCCATAGCAATTTGCCAGTTAGAGCAGTTGAATACAGTAACGTGTTAATGAGACCAAAATTGTAAGTCCAATTCCCTACGGGGACCAATTAACTTAGCTCAGAGAAAAGTTCTGTTCTATAGCCACAAAAAGCACCAATAACCCTGGCCAGCCATTATGCAAATGCATTAGTAGGTCTGGCTCAATGTAATCCATCCTGTCTACTACAAAACTCACTGTGAATGTGCTCTGGATTGTCAGAAAACTCACCTTTGGGTGCCAAGTACAACATGAACATAGTTTGTATTCTGTTGTAGTACAAGTGACTGACAGGACTGAAAGTGATGGAGAGGGAGGGGAAAGGATGATTCAGCCCCTGTGCACCTACCTCAGTGTTGACTCCCAGGGCTTTCTCCAGTGAGTAGCGGTACTTCCCCATCCTCAGGGAGAAGTCCCGATAGTGCTTGTCTACTGTAGTCACCCACTTCCTGATCTCAGTGGCATGGATGTGGCCCTTTTCAACAAAGCTGTCAGCCAGTTGAATCAGAAGTTTCACTTTCTCCTTTGTTTGCTGCTCCCAAAAGATGATCCCATGGTACAGGATTAATTTAGTTTTGACCAAGCAAGTGGGCAACAAGCATTTATGAAGTACCTACTATGTGTCGGGCACTGTATTAGTCTTGGGATACAGAGACAAAAATGAAGCAATCCCTCTCCATCAGAAGTATATCAGGGTGGACAACCTGTTTCCTCCTCATCCAAACCTGTCCTTCCCCTCCCACAAGTCATGGGCAAGTTACAGAACTAGAGACATGGTACAGACTAGAACTTTTCAAATATGATGCACATTGGTGTATTCTCACGATAGAAAGGTATCAACCATCAGATTCAAAAGGTAGTGCCTTGGGGATCTGCGAGAAGTGGTTGCTAAGGACCAGAGCTGGAGAAATGCCAGCCCCAATGGGATGATGGCAGGAGGAAGAACGTTAGGGCCTTGTCACATTGTCATTGTGAAGGTGATCTTAGCAATGTGACCATCTCCTGTTCTATAAGCCTTAAATAACCCTCTCCTGCCTCAGAATATAACCTGCTTCCCAGGGTAGCTGACAGCTTGATTTTCCTAAACAAGAGTAAGTCAAAATTAAGAGCTGACTTCTGAGTTGTCAGAACAGTTTTGATGATGATGATGATAACCAACTGAATATGAGGAAGGGGAAAGCTTTTGAAGTTCTATAGTTCAAAGGAGAAGACCGCTTAAGACTAAAACCTTAAAAAGTCAAATAAGAAAAATATAACTTGTGGGTATTCTAGGTTTACAAAGTCATTTTATTAAGTCTATTCCAAGGAGCAGATCCTCTTGAGTATTGTATTTATTTAAAGTTTACAAGAGTTTTAACTGCTGCAATCAAGGTCTCTTTGGGAAATCTCCCAGTCTCTTTTTTCACATTTATGTATTTTATTTTTAATTTATGGAATAAAACAAGCCTCTCCATAACATAGCATAATAAAAAAATGAAACGGCAAATCTATTATGTACTACTAGCTATTCCTTTTATATATATAATAAAGTTATCATATTAATTTTTTCCTTTTTTTCTTCCCTGCCCCACTCTAGAAATGGCTACTACTAGACTAGACATAAACAGGTATATTTATGTAAAATTATTCTATAAATACTTTTACTTGTCAGTTCTCTCTCTGGATGCAAATAGTGTTTTACTTCATATGTCCTTTATAGTCAATTTGGGTATTTATAAAAAGTTAAAATGACTCATTCATCTATTTCCAAAGATAATTAGGGAAAAAGGAAAAGAACCTATATATTCCAAGTTTTTTTTTTTAATGATTCCAGACTTCTACCTTAAGGGCCATCTTCTTAACATCAACACTCTTTCAGGATTATCGTTTGGCTATGAGCCATAGAACATCTACCAAAACATTCTGCATAGAACTGAAATTGAGGGGCAACTGGGGGGAAACGGGGAGCAGGGGCATGGGCAGGCTGAGGAATATCACCAAGAAGGAATCACAAAGCAGAAGTAAATGATATCAACGGAGAAATGTAGGGGCAAGGAAGAAGGTGGATTGCTCACGTGGCAAGAGTGAACGATAATCAGTGGGCAGCTTGTGGTCACTATTGGTGTATCTCTCAATGTCAAGAGAAGGGTGGAGGGGGAGGTATTTGTGTGGCTCCTATGTGGCAAATTTATGAAAAGGCAAGGAAAAAAGGGTCTCATGGGGTGGGCATTCATGGAGGGGTTATGATCTGTGTGTCTGGAAGGAACAACCCCATTGACAAGGTCACATATTCATTTGAGTATCTGAGATAATAAAGATGAATCTATTTTTACATACTTTCATCTGCCTGCCAATCCTTGGGTTACAATATAGCTTCTTTTGTCCTATAGCTAGACACTCCAACCTCCAGTGCCTGACTTTTTACTTGTACTTGGAGTCAACGTACCCGAATTTCAGGAATAGTCAAACCATAGGAAAATTAACTCCAGAAGTACTGACTGATGCAGTTGATTTTTTTAAAACAAATCTTACATAGAGGACTTTACATTGATTGCTTTTTAGCTAAGTTTTAGCTAGTTAGTTTCCATGCTACATTCTACCTTGTCAAGATATTCAGGAAACTTAATCATGTCATTTCTGGTGTCTGCTTCCTCGCTCAGTTTTATGCCATCTTTGCATCTGATCATTGCTCCATCTAGGTCTTCTTCGGAGTCATAAATAAAAAAATGTGGATCAGGATGGGGTTAGTAAAGAGACTTACAATAATTCATAAGAGGGCTCTTTCTAGGTTAGCATAGAGTCATCAAATCAACACCCTAGGTAACGTTATTCAGTCAGCTCTGGATCTCCCTAGGAGCACTCTTATTTCACCCGCATTTCACCATTCACCCTGAGGATATCAAGGACACTGTCAAAAGCCAATAGTCAATAAATATTTATTAAGCACCTACTATGTGCCAAGCACTGTGCTAAGCACTGGGGATATAAATGCAAAAAAAAAAAAGAAAGAAAAAATCTCTATGAAGTTTAAGCAAAATAAAGCTAAATTAAACAACTTCCAAGTTTATGGCATTTTCTTAGTTGATCAGAAAAATATCCTTATAAAAAAGGAAATGATGTTAGTTTTCAATGAGCAATTTTTGGTCAAACCATGCTTACTCTTAGTAACCAACTGAAGTATTTGTCTAAATGCCCACAAGACAATTAATTCAGAATTTTTCCAGGGATTGGCATAAAGTTGATCAGTCTGTGGTTTCCAGGTCTCTCTTTTCCTTCTTTTGAAAAATCAGCACAGCTGTTCCTCTCTTGAATACTGGCATCTCTTCTGTTTTCCATTATTCTTTAAAAACTGTTGACTTGCAGTGGTATACCACTAGCATGGCATACAGTAAGTGCTTCTAAAATGTTTATTGACATGAATACTGTGATAATATTTTCAAGTACTTTCATGATCCTGGGAAATAATTTGTTTGTGCCTGGAAGTTGGAATATAATGAAAGTGGCTGGGTATGTATATACTATCTTCTCACTTCTCCTGAATTTCAATTCCCTTCTAAGCCAATTTTTCTTGCACTTCCTAGTTTTATGACTACTCTCCTTGCTGAAAAAGAAGGCAGTCAGTAGGAGCTGAGCTCTGCCTTCTCTCTGTTGCCAGTCAATGTCTTTCTAAAGCAGTAGTTCTCATGCCTTCCTTTTGCTTCTTGCCTTGAGCATACACAAATGACCCCTTTTGGCACCTTGCACAAGTCTCAGTACATCTGGGGCTTTAACTTCCCTCAAAGTATTTTTATGAGATGGTGCCATTCTTTCACCTGCATTCATTCTTACATGTCATTGTCTCTCTTGTAAATAATCTCTGTAAAGAGAAGCTCATCAGAGAACTCTTGGTGTAGCCACATTGGGTTTCTAGAGACTTCCTCTTTTTTTCTCATTATGATTATTTGTGATTATGCACTAAGATTTATTTATTTTTATTGGAATTGTTCCTCAATAGGGAATAAAATCCCAGCAATGGGAGTATAACTATCTTTTCTCTGAAGCTTCAAAATATAGATTTTCCAAGCCTAGGATACATTTTTATGTTCATTTTTCCTGTTCTTTGCTACCAGAAGATCAAGGATGAAGCAAACATCTTTCTCCCATGGTTCCTGTCATTTTTACATTGCTAACCTATTTTCCTTTGTTCATTAGAATTAAGCCCAGAAAAGCAGTCCCCTTGTTGCTTCCTCTCCTGTTAGTATTAAACTGTGAGCTGGGCAAGCCAAGAATTAGTCAGATGGACTGCTTTTAGCAGAATTGGACTTCTTAGAGATGCCAGAAAACTTGAGTTCCTCATCAGTATATAGCTTGCCTTTCTCTAAGTTTTGTAATTTATATTAGGAAAGCAACTCCCACAGAATACTCTTTTTTTCTATTTCTCTCTCTTATCCTCCCCCAAATGCTCTTTCCTTGCTTCTATTTTCAGGTTTGTAGAATTCTATACGGTGCTGCTTCTCACCTTCGACTAGGCCTATTGTTTTTAAGTGTTGTAAGGATCCAGCAAAGGTAGCTAGGTGGCTCTGTGGATAAAGCACAGGACCTGGAGTCAGGAAGACCTGAATTCAAATCCAGCCTCAGACACTTACCAGCTGTTTGACCCTGAGCAACTCACTTAACCTCTGCTTGTTTTAATCCACTGGGGAAGGAAATGGTAAACCACTCCAGTATCTTTGTCAAGAAAATCCCATGAACAGTATGGTCCACCGGATCATGAAAAGTTGGATATGACTGAACAACAACAACAAAGTATCAGCATAACCTTCCATTGCTGTAACATAGCCATGAGACCTATCCTATTAAATTTCAAGGACATCTATGATCTCATATTTATGTTCTTGTGTGACTGGACTGACGTAGGAGATATTCTCAAGTTAATGAATTAATAGATTCATTTGTGAATGAATGAATGACTACATTATTGCCAAACTGGAACATTCTTTAGACCAGTGGTTCCCAAGCTTTTTGTTCTCAGGACCTCTTTTGTACTCTTAAAAATTATTGTGGATCTTCCACCCCTACTTTTGTTTACATGGTTATATTGGTTGATATTTATCATATTAGAAATCAAAATGCCTCAGTATGATTAAGAAAGTAGCTTTGACTTCAAGGACCCCCTTGAAAGGCTCTCCAGGACTCGATGGGGTTTCCAAGACTACACTTTGAGAACCTCTGCTTTTGCTCATAGCCTGCACATTCCTGACTTTATCATTGCTCAGACCTTTCCGTATAGCTGGAATGTCCTCCCACCCCCTCCTTTCCAGCTGAATTCCTATACAATCTCTACAATTAAACATAAATATCACACACCCTTCCCCTGGTCTTCCTAGGTCCCCCTAGTTACAAGAGACTTTTCCCCTGGGGGAATCTTTCAGTTCTTATATTTAGGACTGCTAATGTTCTGATCATGTATTATTCAGTCATGTCTGATTCTATGGCTCCATTTGGGTTTTTCTTGCCAAAGATACTAGAGTGGTTTGCCCTTTCCTTCTCCAGCTCATTTTACAGATGAAGAAACTGAGGCAAATAAGGTGAAGTAACTTGTCCAGGGTCACACTGCTAGTACTCAGGTCCTCCTGACTCCAGGTGACTGTGCCACCGAGCTGCCCCTATTTTACAGATGAGAAAACTGAGGCAGACAGAAATTAATTGACTTGCCCCAGAATCACACAGCCTGTAAATATATGAGGCAGGCTTTGAACTCAGGTCTTTCTAACTCCAGATCCATCACTCTATCCACTAGCCACCTCACTGCCTGATCACATAAGATTTTGTATTGTGATTATCATATATATGGCATATCTTCCTAGTAAATGGTAAGTTCTATGATGCACACAGGGGGTCATGTCCTGTCACACTCTGCTCTCCACACAATAGGACCTAATCAGTATTGAATGAATTGAATGAAATTGGAAGGAATGGAATGAAGGACTGAAGGCCAACCGGCCTGTATTTGGACTCAGAGGCCGATATTTTGTATAAGTAAATATTCTGTGAGATAGAATTATGTCATGGTGGATAGAGAGCTAGCCTCGGTGTCAGGGAGAACTGGAGTCAGAGGCATCTGACTCATATTGGCTGATGGGCAATGAGCATATCATTTCACTTTTCAGCACCCTGAACAGCTCTCTCTATACACTGTGTTGCTGATCTACATTGGTTGAGAGTTCTCAAAACCAATGAATCACAGATCTAACCCCACTTTCCCATTGTATCTATATGTATGTGTATATGTTACCTAAATATGTAATGTGTAACAATAGAATGTAAGTTCCTCGAGGGCTGCAAGGGTTTGGTTTATGTCTTTGTATCCCCCAGCAGCTGACATGGTGCCTGACACATAGTAGGTCCTTACTAAATGTCAATTGATTGATATTTACCAAATGGTAGCATTCTAATGACACCGAGAGCTCAATTAAACAATTCAGGTCAAAATTGGATTTGGGGGGAAATTCAAACTTTTTCATTCAAACAACAAATATTCATTGGCTACCTATTGTGTGTGACTTTCTATTCTAGGTACTAGAGTGCCTAGAATAGACTATACATGGATATACAAGTCACAGTCCTTGCCATCCCCCCCCCCCAACCCTGAGATCTGAAACTAGTAAAATAAATACAAATATTGGAAAGAAAAGCAGAAAATACTAAGTATTATGTGAAATCATGTAGACAAAAAGTACTATTGGATTTTAAGAAGTGGGGAAGATCACATTTATTTGAAACATCAGGAAAGTATGTAAAGAAAACGTGATGAAGTAGGGGAGGAATTTGGTAAGAAAGGCAGACATTTCAGGAAGTGAGAAAAGAAGAACACAGAGGTAGAAAAATGCAAGTTGATTCAAGAATTTGCTGTTTATTTGAAGTTAGTAAGAGGAAATTTTTAGCTTGCAGGGAGGGTCTGCAAAGGGAAGGAATGGCAGAACAGGCTGGAATGGTAGATAAGGACTATCTTGTAGAGGATTTCAAATGCTCCTGCTAAGGAATTTCAGTTTTCTCTTGTAAGTAGGGGAGAATGGAAAACTTTGGGGCAAAAGATTGACTTAATTAAAGCAGTGCAGAGAAGGTGATGGTGGGAATCAGAAAGTGGTGATATATATATGAGAGGAAATTTGGAGGAAAGATGGATCTGATTAATCATTTGTACTGAGAAGCAGAATGATATAGTAGGTAAAGAACTGGTGTTAGAGCAAGGAAGATCAAGGTCCAAACCCTGACATTATAGCTTTGTGTCCTTGGACACAAACAAAGGTTACGGTTAATAAAGGTTAAGTAACCTCTCTACCCTCTAGACAACTGACTAAGTTACAGAGAAGGGACTGAACAAGTAAGTACTGACCTGCTTTGGTGGACAAAGCTTCCTTACCTGGAGGCTTCTCCATACTAACAAAATCACTGGCTAGTCCCAATCTCTACTTGTAATCATAACTGACCATGTAATTTGCCAAATCTCCATTTCACTCATTTGGTGTTACAGCTTCCTGCAAGGCTGGCTTGTGCTGTGGCCCAGGCTCTGTTCTGGAATCCAGGGGTAAGGGTTTCTATCTAAAGCATCTCTGTCCCACCTTATTTAAGTGAGAACAGGATAGGCCTTAACCCTCGATGGACACAGTTAACTATTTATCATTCTTCCCAATGGAGGGGAATATAGTCTCAACTGGGATAATCCCAAAGTCATTTCCACTTGAGATGGGAATGTATTACATGAATTTTTAAAGCATGATGTCTGATTCTCTGGTATTTAAATTAGTTTACTTTCTCTGATCTCACACCTACCCACAGCGGGAGACTGGACAGGGAGAGTGCTAGATGGCAGTGGAAAGACAGTCTGAGATAAAATACCAGCTATGCATGATGTACAAAGCAGATTGTGTAGCTATATAGAGAACTTGGACTTTCCTATGGCAATGAATTTCAGGTTCATGAGGGAACTGTGGGCTTTCTTGGGAAGACCGCAAACAGAAACTGCTCCTGTTGTCAGAGAGGGCAGTAAATAGAGTTGGGATGGGTTAGGGGAGAAATGTACCCTATTAACTCCCAGAACGTTGTTCATCTCTGCAGAGGTAGCTCATACAGCTCTAGGAAGAGCAGGCTGGTCTCCATCTGCTGTTTTTGGCACTGATGTCAAGAGAGTTTCCTAACATGGCAGGGAGCCCAGGGTGTGGGGTGGAGGAAGGGGGAGATAAAAGAGAAGGGACCTGAATTTGAGACAGAGAGGATTGGCACTTAAGCCCCATGGGTCCTGAGATCAAATCTTGGCTGGGGATCCAGATGGAAATGAAATTGGGAGATTAGTCCTGTTGCCTCTCATTAGCATCATTCTACTTGGTACAAGTGTGTAGGGGGGCTGCTTTCTAGAGACCTCAACATGCCTCAGCTGGGGGAAGAAGCCAAGGCAGAAGTGGGGGGAAATGCTCATCAATTAGAAATCCTCCTGCTTGGTGAGCTTATCCACAGTTATTAGCCCTTCAAATGAGAGAAGTATATACATGAGGGTGGGTGTACAGAAATACAGTACCATTGCATGCAGACATGAGAATATGTGTTCCCAAATGTATGATATCTCTTTTCCCCTGGGTCTATGCAATTCCTCACATTAGTTGGCCTAAAGAATATACCAAATGTAGGAGCCAAGAAAATCGTTAGAGAGACAATGGTGAGTATCTGGAAACAGAATAGGCAGGAGCCAATCATTAAGAAACCAGAAACAGACTTGTTCTAGTCAACAGCTGTAATTCAGGCCCCAAAGGAACTGATTCCAACTATGTTTCCCTGGTAACTGTGGCTAACTGCTAAACAGATCTATTCTCAGAATAGCTGTAACTAGGAGTTTGGGGACAAGAACCACAACTGTATCCAAGGCAAGATTTATAACTGGGCTTTCCATTGGATGGGGTAGAAGACAGAGACCCTAGGTAGATATGGGTGGAGCATGGGAGAAGCTTACCTCAGACTGTCATCTGGTACCTTTTTATTTGAACTAATTCTTACTAATTATGTGTGAAGTTCTGTTGTTTCTACATGGCTGGAGGACCACAACAGCTATCACAATGTCTTCCAAGTCCACTTTCCTCTGAGTCTAACAATCTGGAACAAAGCCCTAATCGCCTCAACCTATTACAGTTCTGGCTCTTAGGGGTATGTGATCTTCCCTCCCTGGGATGGGAAGGGCTAGAGTGAATTGGGATGGGGGAGGCTGGAGGCTCCGTACCTTGGCCGGCACCCTGAATTCCCCATACTCTTTCAGCAGTTCTTGAGTCTCCTCTGTGGACTCGCCCGTGGAGTTGTGTGTTGAGAGGAAATATTCGCCTGTCTCTTGGATCCAGTCAAGTGCCTGTGGGAGGCAAGAACACCCCCAGGTCCCCCAAAAAGCCAGTCCTCAGGAGAAAAATACACCAGAAGGAAGGTTTATCTGGGTGACATAATAGAACTTGAGAAATGCTAACAGGCACTGATAAATTGTTAGCTAACTTGTTTTCACTTGACTATTTCTGTTCTTTTCCTTTAGGCTTGAGCACCCTGAGGGGATGGATTTTATGTTTCATTACAGGGTATAGGACTGAGAGATCGATAGTCTTGGAAGCACAAAATTCAAATCCTGCCTCTGACATCTACTGGCTGTGTGACCCTGAACAAGTCACTTAAACTTAACTTCTCAGTGCCCTAGGCAACTCTAAGACTTTAAGTTATAGAAGACTTGCTGCTTTGTATTGGAGAAAGAAATTTCCACATCTGGGATTTCCTACTTAAATATGGACTCCCCTACTTCCCTAAAGGCATGCCCTAAGAGAAAAGATAGTCTTTTTCTCTTTTAGGCATCTCCTGAAAACCCTCTGAAATAGGGGCTCTACATACAAGTTGCTTAACTAATGTTGTTGGTGAGTTAAAAAATGACCACTTAGATCCCTTCTCCTTGTCACCTGACTTCCTTCCCCCTCTTCCCTGTCCTCCTGCCTTAGAGAGTCTCCTCTGGGTTCTCTGAGGCTTTGATCACTGTAGAGGGGGATGGGAATGGGGTAGAGAGGTCCCCAGAATCTCCCAGCCCAAAGGGAAAGTGAGGTGCAAGCTCCAGTAATACCTGCTTGGCGCTGCGCTCGAACACCACATACTGCTGGCACTGGTCTAATCGTCGCTTCTTCAAGGTCCAGAAATGCAGCACTCGGTTCTCCCTCTGAAGGAGCTCGCTCAAGATGGCTGCAGGGCAGAGCAGAGGGGTCACAGGCCAAACCCAGACTACCATTTTGTATTCTTTCCAGTGGCCAGAGGACCTAGCCCACCAAAGAACCCTCCTGCCAAAGGCCTGACCCAGAGAAGAGTAGACAGGCAGCATAGAACATAGTGCATTAGGGGAAAACACCGGCTTTGGCACCAGACGGTCTGGGTTAGAATCCTGGGTCTGGTCCTGCCTATTCTTGTGACTCTGGACAACACAAAATGAGATAGTTGAACCAAATGATCTCTAAAGTCTCTTCCAGTTGTAAATCTTGTGATCCCAAGAAACCACAGCTTGAGTACTTGAGGGGATAAGAAGGAAATCACAGAGAGTGGGGCTAAAATTTGGAGGTAAATGTGATATGTACATGCATATGCATATGTATGTATATATATATATATATATATATATATAAGTTTCTACACCTAGAATTTATATATATTATAATATATATAATATATTATAACATATGCAATAATTTAATAATCAGATATTTACTATTATTTTATTTTCTTATTAATGCAATTACAACTAATAATTTATTTAATATTAACAATAGTATAATCAATGGTATATTATATTCTTAATACATAAGTAAATATATGTATATATACATATATATAAAAGTAAGTATATATGTGCCTGTGTATATATGCCTATTTGTGTATGTATGTGTATGTGTGTCTGTATGTGTGGGGAGGGATAGTGTATTTTGGGGCATCATATTAGGGAATTAGTTTTTCCCAAGAATAAATGACTACCTGTTTCAAGGATATCAGACACCATTAAATCCAATATCTTCAATTTTATAAATAAGGAAAACTGAGAATCTAGGAGGTGAGGCTCTAAGATCATAGATTTAGTTACCAGGGACCTTAGAGGCCATCTAGGGTACCCTCCCATTTTACAGATGAGGAAACTGAGGTTGAGAGAGGTTCAGTGACTTGCCCAAGGTCACACCAGTAGTAAGTATCAGAGTTAGAATTTGTACTCAGGTTCTCTGAATCCAGAGAAATTACTATTGTCCTCTTTCTACCAAAGGAGTGGTTAACTCAATTTCATTGATAAGAATTTGATAGAGGATATAGGTTGGACTAGATTATCTTGAAGTTCCCATCTAGTGATGTTATGTCTGCCTCTTTGGGTCTCAGTTTTGTAGGATCATAGCTCTAGAGCTGGAAGGCACCTCAGAGACCATCTAATACCCCCCCACACACACACATACAATTGTCCCATTTTATAAATGAAAAATCTGAGGCTCAGGGGGGTTAAGAGATTTACCCAAGATCACACAAGTTGTAAGTGCCAAAGGTGAGAATTTAACCCAGATCCTTGAACTCCTAAGCCATGCTCTTCCCACTACACCAGGCTGCTTCATCTGCAACATGAGGGGTTTAGAAAAGATGACAATCATTTACATAGTTTTTTAAAGTTGGGAAAGTGTTTTACAAATATTGTTCATATTAATAATTAAGCTGGCATTTATATAGCACTTTAAGGTTTGCAAAGTGCTTTACAAACATGCTAATACCTCAATTTTACAGATGAAGAAACTCGGGTTGAAGTTAAGTGGTTTGCCCATGGTCACAAAGCTAGTAAGTGTCTGAGGCTGGATTTGAACTCAGGTCTTCCTGAGTTCAGAAATGTGTATTGACTGACAGAGTGACTAACTGACTGACTCCAGGCTCAGTGCTTTAGCCACTGCATTACGTACTTGCCCCTAAATAACTTCTGGGATTCTTTCCAGCTCTAGACTGATCCTCCGTCTTTCCTTGGTTGTGTATTCCTCAGCCCTCAGCTCACTCAGAGCATTATGAAATCTTTATGACTTCAGTCATCTTCCTCTCTGACAGTTTTCACATGGTCAGCAATCTCTGTCATTGTCCTGAGGTGATGCAACACCCCTGTTTTCCCTGGGAGCTTATCCTCACCTTTCTTCAGCAGACAGCGCCCCACAGATCACACAGCAGGAAACTCCTGTTACGAGCATTAGGAAGTTGGGCATATGTTTTGAGATGAACTAGAGAAAGAGGGCGGCATCATGTAAACCACCTGCAGGGTCCCTGTTCTATACCAGCATATCTAGAAAATAGATTTTGAAAAACAGTGCCGCTGTGGGTGGACCAATCTCTCCCATTTTGAGGTTTCTGCTCATTACGGCCACATGGCTACCAATTTGCTCAATTTGTCAACTTGATGAATAGAAATATCTCCCCAAAGCAGGCTGGCCACTTTCCCACACTGCCAGGGCACTAATCAGAATTTTGGCTTCTTCCTGAAACTTCTTCAATGCCACAGTCCCTCTCTCCACTTCTCACCCTCTAACTCTGCCCTGCCCTGCCCCATCTCACCACTACCTTGTTGTGGTGGTTGTTGTTGTTGAGTTGGTTCAGTTATGTTCGACTCTATTTGGGGTTTTCCTGGCAAAGACACTGGAGTGGTCTGCCATTTCTTTCTCCAGCTCATTTTACAGATGAGAAAACTGAGGCAAACAGGGTGAAGTCACTTGTCCAGGGTCACTCAGCTAGTACATGTCTGAGGCTCGATTTGCCTTTTTTTTTTTTTTGGCTAGGCAGTGGGGTTAAGTGACTTGCCCAGGGTCACATAGCTAGTAAGTATCATGTGTCTGAGGCTGTATTTGAACTTAGGACCTCTTGAATCCAGGGCCAGTGCTCTATCCATTGTGCCACCTAGCTGCCTCTCTGAGGCTGGATTTGAACTCAGGAAGATGAGTCTTCCTGACTTCAGGCCTGGCACTCTGTCTCCTGAGCCACTTAGCTGCTCTACTACCACCTAGGAAAAAGTGAAAACTATTCAGGCTAAATCTTCTTCCCTATTCCACATCACCAAGGATATATCTCTTCAGTGTATAAAAGTCTAACTGTTCATCCACCCATATCACTGATTTTCCACATGCCTGTGGCATGCCCCATGGAGGGTTGACAACTGGGCTTTAACATGGTCAGAGGATAGATCAAGAGGCAGTGGGACATAATGGATAAAGAGCTCTACTTGAAGCTAGGAAGAACTGGGTTCAAGTCCAGCTCTACACAAACTGGTTGTGGGACCCTGGGTAAGTCACCTAACCTCTGAGTTTCCCAGGCAACTTTGTATGACTCTAAACTGCAGAGAAAGTGCCAACTTGCATTGATAGAGGGAGTTCTCTAGGCCAGAGAAATCACAGGTACAGCTCCTATCCCTAAATGTGGTCAGATGAATGATAGCTTTTAAAAGTTATAATTTTCACAAGGTAAAAAAAGGTGTCTAATAGTTGGAAGAGATGTTAGTGGTAACCCAGTTCAGGACTTTGCCCCTTACTCATCAGAGGATAGATGACGAGATGACCTTTGAGGTCCCTTCCAGCTCTAAATCTATGGTCCTTTGAGTTAATAATCAGTAATTCTGTGGACCAGAGGCAGAATTTTGGATTATATAATAACAAAAACAACAGACGTTTTCCATAGCACTTAATAGCTCCCAAAGCTTTTGGCCTGTTATCTCATATGAGCCCAACAACCATGTGAGATGGTTATTGCAGGTATTATTGTCCTTATTAAAAGGGTTCCACTGCCAGGATCATAACTTCCCCCTAAACCCACAACCCACAAAAATATTTCAGCATATAGAATAAAAACATTCCAACCATACTCACATCATAATTTGGAAATCCACATTAAGTAGATCACACTTCAGTTATATTTAGTCTCTTTTTACTTTCCAATAGACCGTAAGTTTCTGCAAATGGGGAAAGGACTCCTTCCCTTTTATTTGTCTCTCTCTTTGCATTTCCAACATGGGAAGAATCAGAGATAGAAAGAAAGACTATATCTTTTTTAAAGCTTTGAAACTTTTGACAGAAAAGTTCCTCCCCGCCTTTTTTTTTTGCCCTTTTTCCCTTGGTTGATCAGACCATCAGAAAAAGCTGAGCTGAAGATATCAGGACACAGAACAAATGTAAAATGCTTATAGCATATATTTTTCATAAAAACAAAGAAAACAATAGCTTAGCTCTCTCTCTCTCTCTCTCTCTCTCTTCTCTCTCTCTCTCTCTCTCTCTCTCTCTCTCTCTCTCGTTTCAGGGGAGGAGATCTTTTACTAAGGTTCTAAACTCTTTTCAGGGGTGGGGAAGGAGGGTATAGGATGTGGGAAGAATCACAAGCATTTAGAGGCAAGGAAAATTTTACAGATGAAGAAACTGAAGCTCGCCAAAATTAAAGGACTTGCCCATGATCAAACAGCTAAGAACTGCCAAATGCAGGATTTGATCCCAATTCTTCCTAATTTCAAGTCTGCACTCTATCCCCAGTGCCATTTATTCAGTCGTGTCAGACTCTCTGTGACCCCATTTTGGGGTTTTCTTGGCAAAGATACTGGAGTGGTTTGCCTTTTCCTTCTCCAATTCATTTTACAGTTGAGGAAACTGAGGCAAACAGGGTTAAGTAACTTGCCCAGCTAGCATCTGAGGCAAGATTTGAACCCAAGAAGAAAAGTGTTCCCGATTCCAAGCCCAGTGCTCTAACCACTGTACCACCTAGCTCCTCTGTGCCATACTTGACTTCTAAAATCCCTTCCAAATCTGGTATTTCATGAAACTGAGGCCCAGGAAGGCTGTGATTTGCTTAAACTCACATAGCTGGGTGGGTGGCAGAGATGGGACTGAAAATAACTATCATGTTAATAATAATAGCAACTCATACTTAATATAGTACTTGAAGATTTATCAAGTACTTTCTTCATAATAAGCCCATGAGGTTCACAGTGACCAGGGATGTTCTGATAAACGTTTAACAATCAGTTCTCCAAATATTTGTACGTGTACACACACGGATGTCTGACACACTTTTGAGTTAATTTTCATTTTTAACATTTCCTCCATCACTTCCTTAAGTTTAGACAATTATCAAAACAATAAAGCAAGCCCTGATTTGTAGTATTTGCCAATTTCTGAAGCATAAATTCTCACATTGAACATTTAACAATTAACCCTCCAGAGACGGTTTGAGCTGACTCCGACACAGCCCTGAGTGTGACCTACACGGCTGATGTGGCTAGTGGCTGGAGAAGCTGGCACTGACCTTTCACTTGTTGCTCAGGTCCCCGGGTATGGCTGGCCACACTGGGCATGCTGACGTTGTTCCTGTGGATGTACTTCAGAAACACTTCGGCGTTTCTGCGGGCCAGTGTGCATGCCTAGGAGAGACAAAGATGATGCCCCCTCCCCTCAGTCATGTGGAAATAGAGACCACTGCAGAAGGGGACTCATTCCCCTTTCCAAAGGAGGCTTATAGTCTTGTCCTTGAGGTTCATGGAGGACAACAGCTCCTGGAGCCTCTCCAAATTCATGGGCAATCATGCTGCCCTGAGGCAGGGGGTTGGACAAGATGACTTTTTGAGGTCGCTTCAGGTTTGAAGATATGATAAACTCTATTTTTTCAGGGTCTTCTTTTTATCCAGCAACATCTTTGATGTCCTTCCTCTTACTCCTTTTAAACTAATAGTCTTTTTATTTTAAAATATTTTTCTCAATTATATGTAAACAAAAAATTTTAATACTTTTTTTTTTTAAATTTTGAGTTCCAAATTCTCTTCCTCCTTCCCTCCCTCCCTATTCCCCTCCTTGTGAAGGCAAGCAGTTTGATACATGTGCAGTCATGCAAAACATTTCCATATTAGCCATAACAATATAGTCATGATCCATAGTAGGACTGGTAAGGGCATTAAAGTGGAGAATTCCCAGTATGGGAACTCCCTCTACCAATGCAGATCAATAATTTGGTTACAGCTCACAGTTTTAGCATTGCTCTTGATCACCAGAACACGATCCATTGCAAATGTTCACTACTAGTCTGGCTTCCCCGCTTCTGCTAGAATATTTTTCCAATACCAGTCAGCTAGTGGGAGCTCAAGGAATAAAAACTCCTTTTAATATTAGCCTGATTTAAACATAATTAGGAAAGTAAATCTGTTGAAGGGAAAAGAGTAGCACACACATTGTAAATCCAAATAGAAATTACTTTTACGGTTATTCATTATGTTGTATTATCTCTGCTACTAAACTCATGACATGCTCTCACATTTCTCTAACTCTTTTTACATCATCTCTCTCCTTTTATCCTCACATTCACTGTAGGTGGCAGAAAGAATAACAAAATGTTCTCTCCACTATGCAGATGGATAATTTGAGGCTCAGGCAAGGAAGTGACAAAATGAGTGGGGGGCATATTGTTTTTCATTTCCTTTGTTTTTCTTCTTTTTTTTGGCAATATGACTAATATGGAAATGCGTTTTTCATGACTTCATATGTATAATGGGAATCATACTGTTTGCCTTCTCAATAGGTGGGAGAGGGAGAGAATTTGGGACTCAAATTTTTAAAAAAGGATATAAAAAAAATTAAAATAAAAACATGAGGGTGGACACCCAGGTGCTCTAATTTTCAACCCAGGGACCTCTACCCCACACAAAAATCTGCAAACCTGAAAGTTTGCTTAATAGCAGGTGCTCAGCTGGACTGTCACTAGCAGGCTATTAAGGTCCTGTAGCTGAAGAAGAAATGATGTAATCAAAGAATGTTTAGAAGATGCACTAGGTATGCTTAGTTAGGGGAAGAATATAGAAATGTACTCCGCTCTCCCTCAAACCTGAACTTTCATATATACATTTGTGTGTGTTTATGTGTATACCCATATATACATAAGTATGTCTACATACACACAAATGAGTGTATACGCACACACATTGTTGTTGTCGTTGGGTCATTTCAGTCATGTCCAATTCTTCATGCCCCATTTGGGGTCTTCTTGGCAAAGATACTGGAATGGTTTGCCATTTCTTTCTCTAGCTCATTTTACAGATGAGGAAACTAAGGTTCACAGGGTTAAGTGACTTGCTCAGGGTTGCACAGCTAGTAAGTATCTGAGGCTGGATTTGAACTCGGGAAGACGAGTTTTCTCATCTGCCTGACTCCAGGCCTAGCACTCTATCCATTGTGCTGCCTGCCTGAAATATGTGTGCGTGTGTATGTATGTATGTATGTATATGAATGCATGTATGACTGTATGTATACACATACATACATATACACATATGTATATATGAATGTTTTTGTTTTCTTTTTTCAATTACATGTAAAAACAATTTTTAACATTTGAAATAATTTTTCATAATTTTCTAAGTTCCTCCCCTCCTTAAGAAGGCAAGCAACTTGACATCGGTTATACATGTGTAGTCATGCAAAGCATTTTCACGTTAGCCATATTGCAAAAGAAAACACTGACCAAAAAAAACACCCAGAATAATAAAGCAAGTAAAAAATAATGCTTCAGTCTACCTTCAGACTACATTCAGACTCCTTCAATTCTTTCTTTGGAGGTAGATAGGATTTTACATTATAGGTCCTTTGGAATTGTCTTGGATCATTACATTGCCGAGAATAGCAAAGTCATTCATAGTTGATCATCATACAATATTGCTGTTATGAAGTACAATGTTCTACTGGTTCTGCCTGAGCTTTCTTTAATAACTCATTATCTAGAATCCATTCTTTTGCCTGAATTCTTCAACTTATTTACACTTCAGGCCTATATCATCTCTGGGCAACAAGTCATAATTTCCTCAGGATATTAATATTTCTTTTTATTTGTTAGACAGCTTCTTCTTTCTAGACACCTCCATTCTACTTCCATTCCTGAAGGCCTTAGTCAAATCCTTGACCTTGGGTCATTGATCCGCTCAATCTTATTCTTCTAGAACTAGTGACTACAGCCTTCTCATTTTCCTGGGCTCCATCCATTGGAAGCCCTTTTAGCCCATGGATCATCTTGATGCCTTTCTTACTTACTACTCCTTTAAGCTCTTTCTTTAGGTATAATGATCAGAACAGCACATGATATTTCAGAGACAGATACATCCTTGCATTGTGCGAGGTGATGATCATGTTTCATACATCTTTCTCTTCCTGGAGACATCAAACAATTTGTTAGCTGTTTGTTTATGGTGGCACTTCAGGTTAATGTCTTTGGGAAACAGTGATGACTGTAATAATCCCTTCTCCTGAGTCATAACTGATAGCTTAGAGCCCATCCTTTTATAAAGAGAGCGTGGCTCATTTCCTTCCAGTGTATGATCTGGCACTCATCTGCACTGAAAGTTACCTACTACTTTTCTATCCACTCGTATGGCCTTATGAGAAAAGAATTCTTGCTTTGTGGTGTTTCGATACTCAGTTCCATATCTGGATCTTTAGCTGGAAGCAGTGACCTCTCTTGAGTGTCACTAAACTGGGGCAGCAGAAAGAAACTGGCTACTAGTCATCTATAATGTGTGACTGTCCCTTAAGGATTCAGTAACTGGATAGCATCTCAAAGATTAAGGAAATCCAGGGAGGGGCAGGTAGATGTAAATGAACAAATGGAAACAATTTATTTTCTACTTCTGTCTACCATCAATCCTAGCTGCTAACAGAAGGGTTCCCACCATTGTTTTAAGAGCACAAAGACTAAAATACATCAGATCAGAGAAATTTGGTTTTTTTTTCCTTTTGAAAAAAGAACATCTCCCTTTGATATTATGCGGAAAAGAAATGTTATATCTCTGTTAAAAATCTTTCTTACAAGTTATTTAGCTGAAGCTTAAATTTTATATTCTGACATATTTATATATACATACTCTAAGTTTTTTAATGAAGCAGTTTCTATCTAACTGTTAGATCAATTAGAAGTGAGTGATAAGGGGACCAGTTGTATGGGAGTGCAAATACCAGATAAGAAAGGGGTAAGGGAAAGTATCCTCAAACAAAACACAACCAAAAAACCAAGAGAGGTAGGAGAAAACTGGGTCTCATGGACACTGGTAACATCACTTTATATTTTTTATTTTCTTTTCTTCTCCTTAATTTCTATAACTTGTGAAAAAAAGGCATTTGGCAGTAAAAACAGGGACCTTTCTTTTGGGGAGTTGTAGGGAGTAATTCAAAAGCTGGAAGTAAACTGTTTACAAGGACTTTCAACACAAAATTGTCCCAATGTCCTCAGGTTGGAAATATACATATACCATGAGGAGGTTTTGACTATGCTCAAAGATGCTAGATGAGTTACTTCTACGCACACTCGTAGGGAAAGCCAGGGCTAAATTAATCAATGACTTGTAATAGATAAGTATTTGTGAAAAAATACCTACATTTTACATTTCTTTAAATCTTGCTCTACATACATGCATAGCATCTATTTATACGTTGCTTAAATTAATACTGGATAAGAGTTATACTTAATTGTTTTACAAAAGGTTATTATTCTCAAAGAGCAAGCATAAATGAGCACAAAATTGGTACTTTCTTTTGGTTTATTAACCACACCTACAGATAACTCAGTTGTTTAAAGGTACTACTTTCCACCTAGTAATGGGAAATGCTCATTGCAAGCAAAGTATTCAACTGGAGTAATAACTTTGCAAACCTAAACTGAAAAATTATAATGGCTAACATTGCACACTCAGTTGGTGCATCTTCTGTGCAGAGCTTCCTTCCTAAATTATCAAATGCTACCTAAAGTAGTGTAGATAGGAAACCTTTCCCTAGGGGGGAAAGATTGAAAGAGTGATGAGATGTTGGGTTTGAGACCTAGGAGAGTAAGATCTGACCTTGAGGAAAGCCTCTTTTTGTTCCAGATGTTTGCTGATGAGTGGAATGACATGGTCAATCTCTGCTGCTGGGCCCAATTTATCCCGTCCACCGCACCAGTCCTCATCTCTCCGGTATTCCTGCTCTAGGCTCTCCAGGACACTGCATACCTAATGGAAGAAGGAGAGAATGGCTGAGTAAATCATTCAAACAATTAATCAACAAATGTTTATTTAGGAACTTACTAAGTTTAGGTGGGAAGACAGTATGTCCATAAAGTGACTTCACACTTTCAAAGTGTCACCTAAGAGTATACATGGATGAAAACTGAACTGAGGCTATTTTTAAAAGGGATATAGAATGAAAATGGGAGTGGGCACTGAAACATATGAAGAAAGAAAGGGGTAAAGTAGGGCATCTGAGACCAGCTTTCTCCGCTTCACTGCTTTGCTCAGGGCCATACCTGCCCCATGATTCTGGATATCTTAGACCTGGTGATGAGTCCCAAATCACTCAATTAGTTTTGTCTCTAAAGACATCTTTTCTCCCTGCAAATGTATAATCCAATGAGGGAAATCTGAACCGATCTGCAGGCTCAGGACTTAAGAGAACACTCTTTATAGGCACATAAAAACCTCAGGTCATACAGGTAGAAAGCCTCAGATCGGAGTTTGTTAGACTTGCTCAAAGGCTAGACTTCTAAATCTCACCTAGAAGAGAAACTATATCTCAGATACATCACTGTGCTAAGGAGCAACTCAAATGGATGAACTTCAATGAAAATTTTCCCAACTTTAGAATCCTTTCACAAGAATTCCTTGATTAACCTGACTCAACTGAGTGTTACTTCCATTTCCTCAGAAACCTCATACCACTTGTATATACACACACACAGAATTAGAGTAAGTGTGTGTGTACCCACAAATGCTTATAGATCCAAGATGTGCATGGCATCTAATTGGTGTGTAATAAAGGCTTGTTGAGTTGAATTAAGAGGGCATAAATAATATATGTATAGTAGATGTACCAAGGTGGCATAATCAATACAGATCTGGCCCTGGAATCAGGTTGAATCCTTCCTCAGACACTTAATAACTGAATTGACACTGGGCAAGTCAATTAACCTCTCTCAGCCTCAGTTTCCTCCTCTGTAAAATGGGTATAAAAAATAGCACCTATCACAGTGGGTTGATGAGAGGGTCAAATGAGGTAATACATATGAAGTATTCTGTAAACCTCAAAGTGCTAAATAAATGTTAGCTATAATTATTATTGTATGTGTTTTGTCTGTTTCTTCTACATGATTTTTGTCTACCTTCATTCCCCATCCCTGTCATCCCCCTCAATCTCCTTTTAATGTGAGTTCCTGAAGATAAGGGGAAGCTAGGTGGAGCAGTGGATAGAGTGCCAGGAAGACACATCTTCCTGAATTCAAATTTGGCCTCAGATACTTCCTAGCTATGAGACCCTGGGCAAGTCACTTAACCCTGTTTGCCTCTGTTTCCTCATCTGTAAAATAAGCTGGAGAAGGAAATGACAAACCACTTCAGTATCCTTGCCAAGAAAACCCCAAATAGGGTCACGAATAGTCAGACACAACTGAAATGACTGAACAACTAAGATAAGGATTGTGTCTTTAAACTGGGAGTTCCAAGAGATAAAGGGTGATTCTCTTCAGCATGCATCAGCCTGACCCATTGAAGGGCGAGTTGGGGTTTCGGAAAATACTGAGTCAGTATTATGATTAGCTTATTCAGTTTCTACTTTGGAGCCCCATCTGTGGAGCTGGCTAGTGGGAGGAAGTATTTATAAGTGCCTGAATCTAGTCCACTGACTTGGCGGAAGGGGACATAGCGAAGTAAATAGATGTTGGTATCATAACCCATCCTTCTACTTTCCAAGATGTGGAGCCAGAATGAACCTGGAGAACGCTATGACAACAGCAATAATAGCTACCATTCATACAGCCCATTAAGGTTTCCAAAATGCTTTCTATATGTTGTCTCCTCTGATTCTCGCAATAGCTCTGTGAAGTCGATGATGCTATTATTGTCTCCATTTTTCAGATGAAGAAATGGAGGTTGAGAGATGTTCAATAATTTGGTCAGCCAGGTTCACTCAGCTAGCTAGTGTTTGGGCCAGATTTGAAATGAAGGCTTCCTAATGCCAAGTCCAATACTCTATGGGCTATGCCATTTAGCTGTCTCAATATGCACAAATCGGATAATGACATTATGATTGGTGATGATAATTATCACTGACTTCTTTTTGGACTGGTGTCCACTTATATTTTAATTTTTTTAATTTTTGGACTTCTTTTTAAAAAGCTATTATTTATTTATTTATTTTAAACATTCTTTTCTGAAAGTTTGAGTTCCAAATTCTCTCCCTCCCTCCAGCCCCTCCCCCGCCCACCAAGAAGACAAGCAATATGAAATCATATCATTGGCATTTTCACTAACTATGAAAACATCACTGAAAGATGGCCAAACTCTGATTAATTATACTGACCAATCTTAGTCTTGGATAACAGATGATGAGACATACCTCCCTCCTCTTGGCAGAGAGGTGGAAGATCAGAGATGGGGATTGTGACCATACATGCTCTTTGGCATGGTGACTGTATTTTTGTTGCCTAAATCTTTTTCTTTGTTATACAGGAGAGTTCAGAAAATTTGGCCAAATAATATTAAAAAAAGAGCAACAATAAAATGTTTTAAAATAAAATAATGGGTAAACATTTTTATATTTGGAAGGTAGTTTGGAAATCATCCAATCTGTCTACCCTCTCCATTTTATAGAACATAAATCATAAGGGTTATGGTCACATGGGTCACAAGGGGCAGAGGTGGGCTTTGAATCCTGGTCTTCTGGGCCAGGCCAGCACTCTCTCTACCTCACTATGCTGTCCCACTGATGGGGGCAAGTTGTGGACTTGGGTCCCTGCCTCAGGGACAGGGGTTGTACCAACTCCACTCACCTGCTCAGATGTTTTGTAAAAGGCCACAGAGGCATTGACCAGCTTGAGCCTGTCTTCCATCTTCAGCATCAGCTGCTGCCAGTGCATCGCCACCTTCTCGGCACATTCCCGGATGGCATCGGCATCATAGTGCCCAGCTTGGAGCAATACCTCTGCCTTCTGCTGCACCTGCAGGGCACTCTGGTGTGTCTTCTGCAAGGAAGTTGCATGAAAGAGGGACTGGGCATGAGGGGAGGAGAGAGAGGTTCATGGGGATGACCCAGGTATAATATGGGAAAGGGGTGGAGTGAGGTGTGAGCAGGAAGATGCAGAAAAAGTTAAACAGTTTTAAATGACTTCTTTTCTTCATAATTTGCTACTATTGCTACTACTTACAGACATCTAAAAAAACAATATTCATTCACAAAATCATAGATCTAGAGATGGAAGGAGTTAGAGGCCTCCTATTCCACCCCTGAGTTCAAATCTGGCCTCAGACACTTCCTAGCTGTGTGACTCTGGGCAAGTCACTTCACTTTATTTGCCTCAGTTTCCTCACCTGTAAAACGAGTTGGAGAAGGAAATGGCAAACCACTCCAGTATCTTTGGCAAGAAAACCCCAAATGGGATCATGACGAATTGGCAAAACGAGTCCGCCCTCCTCATCTTACAAATGAGGAACGGTTCTAGGAGTTAATTGAATTGCCCAAAGACACCAAGATGGTCAGAGACAGAGATGACATTTGAACCCAGATTCTCTGATTACAGAGACATTGCTCTTTCTGCTGGACCATATTTCCCCCTCTTGCCCCTCCCCCTCCCATTCCTTGAATTACAACATACAAATATGTGAATGAATATCCCAGGGCCTGGACTCCTGATCTCTTTGTCATGCTCTTTTGCATGATGCAATCACAGGTTTCAGAAGAGTTTTGCTTACTGGGATGGGAAGGAGAGCAGAGTGTGCTGGAACCAGCTCATTTCAGCTTCCAAGAGCCAGTTGCTAAATTTTTACTCTGAGTATTTATACCTTGGAAATAGGCAAATGTTACAAATCAAGATTTGATTTATTATTTTGTTGATTGTCTAGACTTAAGAAAGTGATGGAAAAAATGTTAGTAGTTCAAATTAAACTTAAAAGGTGCCATGTGTACAATTTTTTTTGAGAGCTAGTTGTTAGCAATTTACCAGCACACCTCTGAGAAAGAGGTAAATAAGTTGTATGTTAATCTGTACCTCCACCATCTCCCTGTCTGCCTCCTTTGCCCTGGGTTATTCACTGGGTAAACTTCTCCCCTCCCTTCAAATGCCATTCCAAAGAATTTCCATCTTTTTATTTTTCCAAGGAAGTCATTGGCATAGTTCAATGTTTTGGTTAGATGTTTTAAAAAGCACATGATTTGGCAACAAAAATCTCATGTAACAAAAAACTCTAACCAATGACCCACTGACTATAAGCAAAGTTCAATTCTAATTCCAGGAATTTAAAAAAAAATGGTTAGTTTAGTGCAATTCATTATTGTGGAATTTGATCTTTATGTCCATTTCTCTAACACATTTAAAAAGGTAAAGGATAACAAGTAACATCAGTGTCCTATTGCCCACATTAATGGAGAACAGCGGTAGCTTGGATGATTCCAGGAAGCAGACCCATTTTAATAAATCACTTATATTTGCCAACGAAATGCATTCCATGACTTTGCCTTTCACAATGAATTTATTTTCTTCTTTTTTGGGAGGGGGCAGGAAGAGGTGATGGGGTTATGACTTGCCAAGGTCACACAGCTATTAAGTGCCTGACGGTAGATTTGAACTCCTGACTCCAGGGCCAGTGCTCTATCCACTGCGCCACCTAGCTGTCCCAATGAATTCATTTTCTTAAAATTGTTTGGCTCAGGTTGTTATTAGAGGCACTGAGGTATAGGGGAAAGAACACTAGACATAGAGTCACTAGTCTTGGGTTCAAATTCTGCCTTAATGCTTACTAGCTACATGCCTTGAGACAAGTTACTAAATCCTTCAGATTCCTTATTTGTAAAATGAGTAGAATAGCATTTGTGCTACCTCCTTCGTAAAGTTAATACAAGCAAAGAACCGAGGAAACCATAAAATACTATAGAAATGAGTTATATTCTGTAGATCTTGTGGATATGCAGGTAATAAATAACAGAGGTAGAATTTGAACCCAGATCCTCTGACTCCACAAACAACACTTTCTTCACTATATTATGCTCCCTGGACCAAAGCAAACTATGAACGCTAACTTTATATCAGATTTAGTCTTCATTCTCTGAGGAGGTATACACCAACTGTTAGTGGCGGCCTGGTGAACCCAGAAACTATTGAGTGATTAGTTAAACCAACCCAGCATTTAAGACTTGTTGCAGTTACATAGTAAAATAGGTGATGGACAACTGAGATTGATTGTTTCTGACACTGATAAACTTATAGACACTAATAGACTTATAGAAATTCCCACTCCTTTTTCTAATAATAAGTAGCATGTATGTAGCCCTTTAAGTCTTACAAAATACTTTAAAAAGATCTCATTTTATTCTTACAACAGGAGGGAGGTGCTATTATTACCCCCATTTTAAAGATGAGGAAATTGAGGCAGACAGAAATTAAGTGACTTTCCCAAGGTCACATAGTAGTAGTATCTGAGGCTAGATTTGAACTCAGATCTTCCTGACTCCAAGTCCAGTGCTCTATCCAAAAGGCACTTAGCTGCTAGTTCTTAAAAGTACTGGGTAATTCCACATTTGAGAAGGGATAGTTTGACTCTTTAGAGCACAGGAAGCCCAGCAAACAGTGACTGGCCTCACACAGCTGTACCCATGTAGTACGGCCGGTGACCTTCACCTTCAGTGCCATCTCTAGGAATATCCCATACTGTAATCGACTCAGAATACCTGCCGTCTGAGCAGAGCTTTTTACCTTGCTCTTTTCCTGTTCTCTCATACCTGCTGTACCTTTTCTTCACCTTCATCATAATCTATGGTCTTTCAACTCCTTATTGTTGTAGTCCCTTCTGACTTCACTATCCTTTTCTGGCTCATCATCCATATTATACCCCTTAATATAATTATATGTGTGCTTGCTGTCTCCCTCACTAAAATAGAAGCTCTTTGTGATAAGGGATTATTTCCTTCTTTATAGGAGGCAGCTAAGTGGTGCAGTGGATGGAGAGCTGGACTCAAAATCAGGAAGAACAGTTCAAATCCACCCTGCCTCCGTGATCCTAGGCAAGTCACTTAATCTCTATGTGTCTCAGGATCCCCTTCTGTAAAAGGGGATAGTAATAGTACCTCTTTCCTAAAATCGTTGTGAGGATAAAATGAGATAATATTTGTAAATTGTTTTGTAATCCTTACAGCATATTATTGTAGTTGTTTTTAATCACATCCCCAGCATCTAGGACAGGGCCCAACACATAAGAGGAACATAAGAAAGACTTTTTAATTGATTGATTGATGTCCCTTTGTATCTGGCCTAAGCCTCATAGTTCGCTGCCCTGCTGTGGTGTCCTAGAATGATTCTCCACTGTTCTTTTCATGTCCATTCCCAATCAGTAACCTTGAATAACACCAAGTATCCACTGTTTTTGCTTCCATTCCCAAGCTGCCCAATGCAAACAAAGTCACAGGACTTCTGTTATGAATTCAAAACAATTTCATCTTATCTATCTTCACGTGGGCCTCTGGTGTTTGGAAATCCTTTGATTAATCTCTTCAACCTCTCCCTCTCGATTAGGGTCCCAAAGTAGCTGCTCCAGTTTTTTTCCTCCTCTCTGCTCAAGGTCCCAATCCAGGCCTCACATGGTTTTCACTCTCAGAAAATGAACTTGCTTCCACTTCGCGTTAAAGATTGAGTGAGCCCTCTTATCTTTCTTTTTTGACTTCAAAATGGCTCAGGATTATGCTCTTCTTACTACTGTCAGACTTCTCTGCATTTTTATAACTTTTTTTTTTAATAAAGAATAGGATATACAGAGTTAGATTTGTTTTTTCTAATTCAATAGTCAGTTCCTCTTTTCTCATTGAATAGTCAGGCATCTGTTCCTCAGTCTTCTTTACTTTTTGATGTTATATAATTAATTTAAAATAAATAGAGACTATTCTCCCCCCCAATAATGGGATACTATTCAATCAGTCACCAAGTCCCGTTCATTATACTTTTCCAATATTTCACATGAGTTCTTCCCTTCATATTTCTACTTCTCATCCTTGTTTAGGGCCTTAGCAACTCATAACTGCAGTAGTCTCTTCACTGGCTTTCCTTCCTCTATTTCTTCTACCTTTTAATTCATCCTATATGTGTGTGTATACATATATATATACACACACACACACACATATATATATACATGTATGTATATGTGTATATATACACATACATACATACATACATACATATGTATGTACACACATATACATATGTATGTGTGTATGTATATATTATATATCCTTGACAGATTAATCTTCCAAAACACCTACATCAACCCTCCACTCAAAAATCTCAAGTGCTTCCTTATTGCCTGTAGAGACCTTATAGGTAATCTTGCCTAATCTTATTTAATGGACAATGTAGCTGAGTCCAATGAGATTAATCAAGGTCACACAGGCATTCAATTGGAATTTGAACCCATATCCTGAAACTCCAAATTCAATACTGTTGGCATTTCAGTCCATTTATTAATCTTTCCGATCTCTCTCTACTCTCCTATATAAGCCCTCTTTCCAGCCAGACACAATTCCACCTCTACACCTTTATCTACTAGTCTACGGCCTATTTGCCTTTCAAGTCTACTTCGAGTCTTCTATTTTCCATAAAGTTGTCCTCAAAGAGCCCAATTCTCGGTGCTGCTTTCTTCCCCTGAGCTCCTAGAACATCCACTGTTAGTACCCTTCATTTGTTGTATTGTACATGCTACGTTGTATATTGTATTGATACTTATCTTTTTATGTGCATGTCTCATGTTTCCCTAACTGGAGAGTAAGCCCCTTAAGGTAAGGAATCTTTTTTATTTGCTTCTATTTCCAGGGCCTGGTACAGTGCCCTACCTATAGGATGTACCCAATAAGTGCTTCCTGATAATAAGGATAATAATAATGGGCAATATCATCAGCAAATGTTTCTCCTGACTCTACCTCTAACTCCCATAAGATCTTGTGCTCCCTGGACCTCCATATTCTCACCCGCAAAATGAGGGTAGTAGAGACTGAGCCCAAAATTCCCTTCCAGTTCCGAATCTATGATCTTATGTGAGAAACCAGCAATTGCCTGACATTGTGCATAAAATCAGGATGCCCTGCTGCACCTTCATCTAGGAGGGAATGCAAGCCTGAAGTCTCCCTGAAATCTTGACAAAGATGGCTTCAGAGAACTTCCTTCCCTCTGCCAGGGGATCTGCTTGAACTTAGTCCTGCTCTTACTTCTTAATTTAATTATCATTTAGATATTGCAGCTGTTCCCTTCTTTCAATTTCCAAAAAAAAAAAATCTGGCCCACATTCCGTATCTTCTGGCTTGCTCAACTTTTCACTGTCTTATTGCATTTATTTATAATTCCTGATCATCTGAGCCGTGAGCCTCTAATGGGGGCCAGGAATGTTTCCGAATAATAGAGCTTTGAAAAACTCATTAGCAGGAGAAACGATAGTTGCTAGGAATGCAGAAGACAATATCTGAAGCAAATCAGTTGGATTTAATATCCAGCTGCTTTAACTACTGTTCATGTGGTAATGCTTATGTTTAAAAATGCATTAAAGAATTTAAAATAAAAATGAGCTTAAAAACTCAGCTGTCTATGAAAAACTCCCAGGTGAGCTTGGTTCTCTGAAGATACATCAGAAGGGGCACCTTGGATAGAAACAGAATCAGCAAGACTTGTTTAGTAAACTTCTGACTCCCCTCGGTGGTGGGCTATGGGGAGCTGCTCTAGCAGTCCCAGGCTAAGCCAAGGTACCAATTCGGGCTCTCATGAGCATAGGCAGTGAATGAAATTGTAACTCCCTTGTGAGATATCTGGCTTCTCTCTGGCAACCCTAGCAGTCAAACTGAATCATCTATTAGCAGTCATGGCAAATTCCCCAAATGCAACCATCAAAGTGGGTTAAACCATACCACACTCTTTAAACTCCCCTTCACATAGCTTGAATTTTGAGCAGTTACATTTTTTTCTCCCGTGATAGAGAACTTGGTTCAAAGGGACGCATGTAGATGGGCATGGGGAGAATAAGCCTGAAGTCGGTGTGCTGGTCCTTACAACTGAACAGTATTGGCTGCCCATCCTGGGAACAGTCTCTGCCTGCTCCCCTAAGACTTTTCAACATTCCTTCAATATCCATACTTTAAATCTACTCCAGTAATCTCCCTTGAAGAATAGACTGCCACATTGTAAAATAGGTCATTTTCTGTGAATATCAAGGTATGATTTTTGACAAAAGTACATGCATAAAAACCTAGCAGTGATGAGCAGCTGTGTAATCAGAGAAGGGCATAGAGTATCTGTGCTGTGGTGACCCAGAATTGCCAATATTATTATCGAATACAGCTACCAAGAAAGCTACAGAATATAGAATTTAGCCATTATGCTATTTCCCTACTCATTGGCTAAGACTCATGAGGGATTTCGACTGGCAGTCACTTTCTAGAGGCAGATAAGACCCACATTTCCTACATATTCCAAAAGAGGTTGAGTTCAACACTCTGTCATTAGTAAGAAGAATCTGTACATGTTTTTTCTCTTTCTTCTCTCTCATTTGTACTGAATTATGACTTTATTTAAATATAGCCCTTATGCCTCGCTTCTTATTCGTCCTTGCTCTCCCCCTTCTTTCCAAAGCAATCAACTCAAGTCTCCATGGGATGGATGAGGAGACACAATTTCAAGCATTATTTAAGTCATTAACCCACATTAGAATTAATTTGTACTAGATTTTTATGGATAAAGTTAGTTTATTTAAAAGTCTTTCTCTCCCAAAATCTAGTTTGGTGACCTTCTGTCATTAATAGCACATTCCTGGAATTGTAATTCTGTCCCTATTCTGAAAGGAACTGAAGCAATCTGGGTGTACAACTTGTACCAATGCTAGCCCATCTCAATGACTAAAAGTTCTACCCACTTCCAGTTCCCTATTAGGGGAAATAGAGAACTATCTTACATTACTAGAAACATATTGTGGGAACATTAGTGTAACTCAGATGTTTCAAGAATTTCATCCAATTTTCCTAATGATGTGCATTATAACTTCCGAAATGCTGAATCTTTCTTTCTGATTAATCTTCAATTGGCAGTGGCTCCACACATTTTAGCTTTATATTTCAAAGCCTATTTCTCTTATTCATGCAGTTAATAGTTGGAAATATACCAGAGAGGTTGGGCATTTCTATAGGCCTCCATTCCCCACAATGAACTAGGGGACCTGCAGTTTAAAAGATGTATCATTTCTCAATGTGAAAGAACTTTAGTATAGCTATAAGCCTGGATCTTCCCTCTTAAGGTTTTCTTAAAGCATTTGAATTTGCTTTATCAGTTCTTATATGTTGGGAAGATATAAACCCCAGTGTGTTTCACTTATATGTTTTTTTTTTTAAGAAACCACCCCAAACCTCAGGGAACTCTTATCTAACAAGAAGCCCAGTAATGGACAAAAGATAGGACACTGAAGCATGGATATGAGTGTTACCTCGATGGCTAGTTGGAACTGTTCATGCTCCCGCTGAAGCTGCTCAGCTTCTGACAAAGAGCTGGCATTGACCAAACTGGCATTCAGCATCGATTCCCCATTGCGTATCCAGCCCAGGACCTGGCAAGACAGGATAAGCACATATTTTATGAACCTGTTACAGATTCCCATTAAGGCAGTTGTCTTGGCAATTACTTCAGCCACACACAGTCTGGGCATTTTCATTCATTCATTTCAGAAATATTTATTAAGTATCTAATTTCTTCATTCTCTATGATCATAGAAGAAATATGGAATAACTCAGATGCCCTTTCATTTCTGCCTGTTAAAATGCTATCCTTCAAAACTCAGCTCAGATTTCATTTCCTTCACAAAACCTTACCCAAGTCACCCCAACTGGAAGTTTTCTCTCTTTTCTCTGAAATCTTATGGTACTTTATTTCTACCTTTCTTATGATATATTCTGCCTTGCATCAAGTTGAAAATGTTGGATCTCCCCTAGTAGACTGTAAGCTCATTGAGGGCAAGGGCCATGCCTTATTCCTCTTTGTAATCCCTAGCACAGTGCCTTACAAATAATAAATATTCAATAAATGTTCAATTCATGAATCTTCATTCTTAATATTATGTTGAAATAAAATCCATCCATTACTGTCCTGGCCCTGTAGGAGGAGCAGGGTGTGAGGAATAGAGGAGCAACTGGAGACTGCAGAAGTATAGTGCGTTGCAGCCCCTTTTGTTTGTCCATAGGGACTTTTCTCCCTTTCATCTTTTTAAGGTGTAGGACTAGAAGTCACCTTTCTCTCTCAGACAAACAATAATGCTCATATGCCTCAAATTCTCTCTAAGGACAGATAAAATGACCAATACTACATTGTGTGTGGGCATCATCAGCATGGCTGATTAGTGTGCTTGCCATATGACCAAAAGGAAGTCATGTAATCTGAGTCTCCATGTCCTCATCTTTGAAAGGAGGCTAATTCTTCCACTACTCACCTGTGAAGCTGTTGGGAGGAAAGAAGTCCATAAACTGTGAAGTGCTACTTAGATGCGATGTTACTCCAATCCCACTGAAGCCATCCAATTAGGATGGAGGTGTTACTCCGATTGATATGGCAGAAAGTGGGATAAGATGCCATTAGTTCCAGAACATAAAACCTCAGACTGCGTGTGTAAAGTCCTCAGGATCATTACTGTACCCTCCTAAAGCTGGCCGGCAGTGTCTAATTACCTTGAAATGGTCTATACAAGTGTGGGGGGCATGCACACATGTTTAACAGCATGCTAAATTCACAGATGAGACACCTGCCTTTACAGCTGCATCTCTTTGGGAAACGTGATTGGTCATTGAAGATCTGGAAATATACATGTGCTGCCCAACAGGCTGGACTACACATTGCTTAGTCTACTGATTCATTCATGCACCTTCAAGGAATATTCTCTCCAGATGCCTCACTGGGATAGTCTGAGCAGAGGAAATTAGTTGTAAAAGGCAGAACCCAAGGAAGTCTGGGTAAGACAGCTAAGCCCTTGGGGGTGGCTTCTTGGAGAAGCTGGAGGGTTCGATGCCACCATATGGGATTGTCTCCATTTATCAGCTTTTCCATTTAGAGGCAGATCATTGGTCCCAACAAGAATACATTTTTTAACTCTGTTTAAAAAAATTATTTAAAAGGATATGGGATGGTAGAATGAGAGAAACAGACCTAAATCCCTACATCGCCTACAACATCATCCCATATCCTTGTTTGTTCCCATTTTTCATCTGCTCTCATTAAGGAACTAAGGGATTCAGGAAGTAGCATGCTGTAATGGATAGAGAAATGGATTCAGAGTCAAGAAGATCTGGGTTTGAATCCTGCCTCAGACACTTCCTACCTGTGTTACCCTGCGCAAGTCACTTGGTTTCTTTGGACCTTAGTTTCCTTATCTATACAATGGGAGAGTTGCACGCTATTATCTCAAAAGTCAGGGGTGGGGAACCTGTGGCCTCGAGGCCACATGTGGCCCCCTAGGTCTTCAAGTGTGGCCCTTTGACTGGATCCAAACTTCACAGAATAAAATCTTCTTAGTAAAGGGATTTGTTCTATAAAACTTGGACTTGGTCAAAAGGCTGCACCCAAGGACCAGGCCACAGGTTCCCCACCCCTTGTCAAGGTCCTTAGCTCTAAGATTCTGTTTCTTTCATACTTAAAGGGATAAACTGTCTCACTAAAGCCTCCCCGTTGCATGGGCCTGTAACCACATGGTAGGATCATGATGTTGCTAACTGTCTCTGTGGGTTAGATTCCTTTATATATGATGACTAGAGACAGTGGTTAATAGTAAGCAATGAGTAAGCAAGAAATACTACTTTTCCCTTCTAGCAGAGACTTCATGGCTCCAAACCTCAGCTTGACTAACAAGCCTCCCAGCCTCTCCCCAAATAAAAAGGGGCATAGATGTCCAATCAGGAGTAGGTGACAATTAGAAAAAAAAATATTCCTTCACACACTGAGGATCGGAAGAGAATTATGAGTCTAGCTGAGTCGAAGAGCCTGCAATGCGGGGACCTGGAGTAATCAACAAACCAATCAGTCCATCACTCAACAGGTATTTAGTAACACCAGGCTCTGTGCTCCGTTGTCGGGATACAGAAGCAATAACCAGCATTAACCATGGTGTGAAAGGCACTCTGGTCAAGCAGTGCAGTTGTTTCCTCAAATCAACTTTGTAACTCATAGGTACAGTGGATGGAGTGCTGGGCTTGGAGTCAGGAAGACCTGAGCTCAGATCTGGCCTCAGACATTTACTAGTTGTATGACCCTGGGCAAGTCACATAACCTTGTTTGCCTTGGTTTCCTCATCTGAAAAATGAGATGGAGAAGAAAATGACAAACCACTCCAATATCTTTGCCAAGAAAACCCCCTAAAAATTGGGTCACAAAGAGTCGGACATGACTCAAAAGACTGAATAATAAGAATTCATAGATGGAATCAGCCTGTTAAACTGTCGGATCTGACCCTCTTATGTTCTGAAAATCATAAAAAAGTAACCAGAGAGATGCCTATCAATTGGGGAAGGCCTGAGTAAAATATGGTACACAAATCTAATAGAATATTACTTTCTTCTAAAAAAGCAATGAATATGGTAAATACAGAGAAGTATGGGAAGTTTTGTTTTTATGAACTGGTACAGAGTATAGTAAGTAGAACCATGAAAATAACACACAATGACTACAAAAACAAAAATGGAAAGAACAAAAACAAAACAATCAAAACTGAAGGCTATGAAATTATAATGACCAGACTTGGACCCAAGAAGAGATATGAGAATGCGACTCCCTCCTTTCTTTGTAGAGGCTGGGGGTCAGGGTCAGAGTAGGGAGACTGACTGTGGCGACTAAACATGATGTGGAATGTCATGGTTGATATATTGGCTAATTTTGCTGAACTGCTTTTTTCTCATTTTTAAAAATTGTTTGCTACAAGGGATGGTTCTCTGGAAGGTGGAGGAGGGAGGAATCACCTCAAATCCAAAATCCTTGGGAAATATAAGTGATATGAGAAAACACAGGTGCAAACAAAAGATGTCAATATTTTTTTTAAAATTGAGATAAATTCCAGTGAGTAGAAGAGAGACTTGGTTGCTCTAGTGGCTTTGCTGTTGTTGTAGTATGTACATTAATTTTTTTGTACCATCCATATTTTGATGTCCAAGGGCAAAACATTGGTTATCTGTTCCTAATTCTGGCTCTGTCTAGGAATCAAGTCTCTAGGAGTATAGGTTTATTGAAGCCAGAAGTAGAAACTAGAGAACCAGAAAAGACCTGCTGATGCCTCAATTAGCCAACAAAGGGTCTCAGGGAAAACTAAGGTGGACCCAAGTATAGAAACATATGGAACTAGAAAGAGAAAATAGACTTCTAAAAGACCCCAAGGGTGGAACTGGCCCAGGCCCAGGCAGAGATGACTGGAGAGAAGGAACTTAAGCCAGGTGATTTCTAAGAATCACACTGTCTCGTGCATGCATGTGGTACTCAACACACCTAGAACCGTTTGTTTGTGAAGAGTTGGTACCCTTGTGAATCCTATGCTGTATTTTTATGATTGGATATTGAGTCTAGTAAGCAAAACCAGGAAAACAAAATACAATGACCACAAGAACAAAAGCAAAACAACCCAAATTGAAGGCTGTGCAATTATAATGCCTGGAGGTGACCCTAAAGTACAGATATGAGAATGACCTCCTTCCTTTCTTTGCTGGGAGGTGGGGGGAGAGGACTGGGGATTCAGCTTCAGCACAAGTGAAACACTGCTATTAAACTACTAGGAGAAGGAGTAGATTCCTATGTCTGCGGCCACAGAAGATACCTAAACCCTCAGATGGTGGCTGCTGAGACAGGGAACTTGCTGGGATACCCCTCTTTTAGTTTCTGGATCATTGATTTAGAGCTCCAGTAAAGCTAGGGTTACCTTCCACCTACTTTGGATTTGATTTGTATGTCCTTATTTATGGATTTGTTGCCTCCTTCATTAGAATATAAACTCCTTGAGGGCAAGAACTGTTTTTGTGTCTGTGGGGTAGGGGTGTGTGGTATTTTATCTCCAGAGCTAAGCACAGAAGCTGGCACATTGTTAAGTCATGTCTGATTTTGTGACCGCATTTGGGGTACCCTTGGCAGAGATACTGGAGCGTTTGCCACTTTCTTCTCCAACTCATTTTACAGATGAGGAAACTGAGGCAAAAGTGACTTGCCCAAGGTCACACAGCTAGTATGTGTCTGAGGCCAGATTTGAACTCAGGAAAAAGGGTTTTCCTGACTCCCAGCTGGGCCCTGTATCCACTACATCACCTGGTAACCAAATCCCCTCCATTTAGGGATTAGGAATGGAAGGCCTAGTAAGGTTAAGTCATTTGTCTAAGGTCACACTTAATCACTTATCTTTACTTGCCAAATCTAATCATTTTTTCTGGATCCGTGTTCTTATTGACTTCTCTGCAGCCTCCTTTCTTTCAAGCTTGCCTATAATTGTCAAGGGAACTTCCATATCATTATTATCCTCCTCATTACCCAAACTTCCAACTTCGGTGTCCTCCTTGACTCCTCATTCTCTCTTACCCCTCATATCCAATTTGC